TTATTTATTTGCATTGTTTTTGAAAGTGCAGCGCTTTTCTCCCAGTGGAAGTGTTTTAGGCCGTTGCAGCGCGTTTACATCTGTCGGCCACCGTTCATTTGCGGTCCATGAAGCATCTCCCTGTCATCTTACCTTCTTCTTCATAGCTGTGGTTCTCCTGTCCCAGTTTTTTAATGCTGTGCAATTTCACTGATCCAGACGGCATGATGGCTCATCTAGAAAAAGCACATTCGAGGAGCCCAAAGACTGAATAAATAGCATGTGGCAGTCAGGTCAAAAAGTAATCCCCACTGAAGAGTACATTTTTTTATTTTAAGCAGACATCCGCTTTCAAGGGAAAAAGAAAACTAGTTTCTAACAGCTTTATATTGTGGAGGTATCTAATGAATGACCATGTAATGTTGTTTTAATTTTCATTGATTTGTATTCTTTTTTCTAGCACGCCTTACCTTGACTTTCTTTTACTCACGTTCCGAAAACATTTACAAAGTTAATTAATTTCATTTGAACATTAGAAGAAAACTAATTTAGTCCTGGTAGTATGTTTTGATTTTAACTGCTTTCACAAATAAGAAAAATAGACTCACCTACACGTTTCCTTTTGATGAGAAATCTATGTTTGTTATCCTTGATCGAAACTAATCATGAGCTCTAACAAAAGGAGTCCAATCAAATCAAGTCAGCAGCCTTCCTTCACTTTAGTCCAGACATCCAGTTGTTTGTCCTCCGGCTAGTTGTAGTCGCTTGTCACAACACACTATGAGTCTTGGCTGGCACTCACATGCTCTTATTGGACAGAGCTGGCAGCGGCTCAGGGTCAGAGTGTTTGGTTTGAGGGTAAGTGTCCTGTTGGTTCATGCTGCTCAAAAGGCTGATGACCCCGCTGTGCAAATATTTTACCTGCAGAGGCCCTGCGCTGTTTCTGCATCCTCTGAACGTGACTGATGAACTCACACAGGGGAAGGCTTTAAGGGGGGAACCAATGGGTATCACTGTTACACAGTTAAAGAGCAAGTTATCTGCTGTTTCAGGTGCAAATACGACAATTAGGCCCCATGCCAATTTGCATACATTTATAGAACATGACACGAGGCCATGTTCAAAATTCTTGGTTCATTTTTGTGACATATCTCTCCATAAATCTGACAATTCTGTCAACATCCGGTAAGTAAATACATGTTTGCTATGTTTTAAAACCAGTTAAGCCCTGAGCCTGTTTTTCAGGTTTCAGGCTCGAAAATGACATGCCCAGAACAAATGACTATAACTTCACTTCTAAAAGGGTTAAATTAATAATCTTTTTTCTCAAAGCAAGGTTACATCTGTGAGTTGGATGTAGAAGTGTCAGAATCAATATAGATGTTTCTGTGTCAGAGTAAATTCAGATGGAACATTGTAAAAAAAGGTAAATTCTTACCTCCGCCTACAAAAAACCCATTACTTATAGTGAAAACCACCCTTGGATGATGGGTTAGTAGACTAAAAGCTTTAGGAATCCAAACTACAACATATAATAAGTACCCTGTATCAAGATTGATGCAAAACAAGTGACATTTGACCTCTTTAGAGTCTTATAAGACTTATAAAAATAAAAATAATATGAAATCTCCGTTTTTTACATAAAAATGCAATGATGGATTATCAGTAATCCTTTAAAAGTGACACAGACACATTGGATTAACCTATGGATTAACCTTTAGCGGCGTTTTTATCATTTTAATGCCATTGAACACAACTTTTGATCTAATTTGAGACGATTTCCCGTGAATGTTCCGTAATTCACGTGTTGTGACGTCTGTGTTTGCTTCCCCTGTCACGAGTTCTGATCGTCAGTGATGATACTTATACCTATAGAATCTGTGGAATCTCAGCTTTAATTTGATATCTTGTTTTTGCAGTTACGATAAGTAATAAGGGTATTTTTACCTTGAGTTCTGTGGTAAGTGTGTTAGCATTTTTTCGCTCAGGGCTCATTTAGACGCTTCTTGTGAGACTTGTGTTTTGTTTCGGTAAAAATGGTTCGTATTGTCAGTTAGCTGAGTTTCTTCCCGTTAAATGGGTATGACACATTAATAGGTTTGTAAATATTAAGAAGCCCTGAGACACAGTTTCGTGAAAAAACACCCCACTGCCCCCTGTACAGGGGGCTCTAGGGCTTAACAGATTAAGGAATAACTTGTGATATAAATCAGATTATGAACAATATATGAACAAAGCACTCTATAAAAACCTTCAGAATATGGATAGAAATCAAACTAAAAGTTTGGTGTATGTACGAGCTACATGTACTGAAGTAGAGATTCCTTGGTTTTAATATGATTATAAAACCTTTATAGATATGTTTAGTTGGATTCCATGCATTTTGCAACACTAGGTGACTAGATTGAACAAATAACTGATAGATATCATTGTGAAACTTCCCAGGTAATTATTTTCTGAAAATAATAATAGTAACATAGTGAGAAATGTTATTTCCCTGGGGATTATGAAAGTTCAAGGTTCAAGGTTCTTTATTGTCAATCTGACATAGCTACAGAGTAATTATGCAGTTGAAAATCTTATGTCACAGGCTTCTCCAACAATGCAACATAATAACATAACATAATAACAATAAGAGCAAGAGCAATACAAAAATAATAATAGTTATAAAAATGAAATAAAGTCTTCTTCTTATGAATCATTTGCCCTGTCTGAGAAACTGTGTGTCTCTTTGTAGACAATGTGTTCCTCTTAAACGGTACACTGTATTCTAAGGTCAGCTTTCACGTCAGAAAGGGGATAACACTTATACGCTGTAGCAGCTTTAACCAAAGTGTTTTAACATGACAATGTGTTTGGACTGTGAAAAATACATTCTGTAATCTTTATTAAGTCCTGATAAGTACAGGGATTAATAGGCTTTAAGACCAGAAGCTTTGGCACAATTCTACAATGACTAGAATAGCTATTGTAATGTCCTTTAGGGAATTTGAATATATGAACACATGAATTCACCAAATCAAGCTTCATTGATTTTCTAGCAAGAATCGGGGCCACACTTGTATACCCCCCCGCCCCCCGCCCTTTCTTATGTATTATTATATGTGTTGTTTATAGTGGTCTGTGGTTTTGTTCTTTTTTGACACGTTTATTTTCAGCTGCTTTGACTCTAAAGTTGTAGATGCGATATCTGTCCTACTTATAATATATCTTAAAAAAGTGTCATGATAGGGATGCTTAGGTGGTGTAATTTATCTTGTGTCTTGGTGTAAGAAAGTTGTATCTGACACATACTAGCCCTGTTTGATCCGTTAGCTATATCTGCGTCTCTTAAAGCAATACTGTGTGACTTCAAAAACAAAACAAAAAACACATTCTTCTTTCTACAAATGAATGATTTATTTATAAAGCAATAAAACAAACTTTAACCAAACGGTTTTGCTGCTACAGTCTCACTTGCTAATTAATGTTAGCAAACATTAGCTAATATTTAATCTAACATTATGTGTAAAAATACCCAATACTAAATACACTGTTAGCTAGAACGTAGCTTAGTGAGCAGGCGTTGTGTATTGATGTTACTGCAGGTTGACATTACGGCTGTTGACCTCTTCCAGCTGCACTTTGCTGGAAAGCTTCATGTCTAGTTCCTTTTTTACTTAAAATGTAACAACTAGGGTGAATGCAGGCTACTTTCATACAGCTAAAATCAAATATTAATGAATTCTGATTCACATGAAGGGTTTAAATCATTGTTGGAATAAACAAAGGCCTATTTCCTGTTTTGGTGCAGTCAGGAAACTCCGAAAAGAAAGAAAATAAGTGTATTCATTCAAACTTCCAAGCCGTCAAGATTCAAGCTAACGGTAATTGCACTAACATCAGAAATGTTAAAACTATAAACGGCATGCACGCAAAGAATCCCAGATAGAGTTAAACAAGTTAAATGTTTCATTTCTTGTAACTGGGACATTTAAAGGTAATAAAGCTGCATTAACAGCTGATTGTTTTGCAAGCACTTATTTTGTGAAAATGCACAACCATGTTGTACATTTCTGCGATCAAGCTTTTATGTGTGCAATATCCTACTGCAACTTTACTTATGGAAATACTGTAGAAGTGCTTGCATCTGCACAGAAAATGAATGACTACACAACACTGCTGCCTCCTTGTGGGGAACATGTGAAAGGTTTCAGATGACCCATGGCACACATTTCGAAAGGGAAACTTCTTTGTTGGCTGTAAAACAAAGACACATCTTTATTTCATAACTTCACCCATACCAAAAGACCCAATAACTATAACCTTCATTAGTAGAACATAGGCACTCTACATAGTAATACTGTAGGTACAGTATGCCTACAAAAGTGTCTTAATGAAATGAGCATAAGTTGCATTGCATTACAGTAGTTAAATGTATGTGTTACACTCTATAAAGTGTCTTCACAGGACATCATATTTGAATGAAAAACATGTCCACAGATAGCCCTAGAATACATTTCACAGAATAAGCATGTACATTAGTGATTTCTGCCAGCTTTTGAACTAATGATGGAACATGTATACCTGTAGTGATAACACTTATGCATAGGTTGCAGTAGCTAGCGTATTCTCGTAAATAAGATTACGTATAAATACTACCTAACGTTTGCAGACCAAGAATGACTGTAACGACAAAATCTTTTACTTAAAGTTTGTTTTGTTGTTTTATTGCTTAAGACTTAAATCCTTTCATTGGTCTCGTTGCCTTAAAATGAATGAATGTGCAATAACTGGTAGGAAGGTACACAATAGTCGTTGCATGGAGTTTGATCTCTTATATTGTGTTACCCGATCTAGTTATACTTTAGTTAGAAAACATATCTAAATGTTATCTTGCTTGGAAGAGCTGATTATTTCCTAGTTACTCATTTATACATTTTTATAATCCGTGTCAGCAGCAGATATACCTTTTCCGGCCGCTGGGTAGCGCCTGTGGAGGTGATCTGAGCGGTGCTGCGTTTCTATTGGTGGAGAGGGCTGTTTTGTCACGTGGTGCAGGCTCCCCCTCGCCTGATATAATGTTTATTGGTGAAGGCTGGTCAGAGTCCGGGTAGACGACGTCTGCTCAACAGGTACGACTTTTTCATTGTAGTATTTCACTTCTTGTAAACATAACTCCTCCATAGATATAACACTACTAAGGATATCGTTTAAGATAATAACATAATGTGTTCACTCTGTTTGTCAATAGCAGGGAACCGCTAAATGCGACCGAGAAGAAAATAACAGTTTTGGCGTCATGTTTTGTTCAGTTTTTAAACAGTTTTTGCACAACACGTTATCAGAAACCTATCCAAATAGGAAATAGCATATATGGAGTTAATACTGCATTTAAATACACAATGTAAAGTCGTTAATTTACACCATATCTAATCAGAAATCACCTTCTATTGAACTAGGAAATCAGTTGCGTTCAATAACCGCCCCGTTTTTCCCCTGTCAAATTGCGCAATATGCTACCAGTTAATGAAGAAAGGATTTAAATTACAAGAAATGTAATACCTCCTATGGAAGTTAATGCAAAAAGGGAAGTCAGATAGATAACGTTAGCTTCCTTCCTTCTCTAAGTTTATTTAAACATTTTACTATGACACGATTAAAATGCTTCATGGCACTGGTGGAGTAAAAGTACTTAACAAACTCTACTTTCTAGTAATGCATTTATACATAAGAAGCATTTTACTGATGTGCCTCAATGAAGTGGAGATACTTAGATTTGTATATCCTATATTGGATAATTCAATCTTTCACATTTCATTGCATTTTACAAACCGATCATATGTTTTGAATGGAAAATGTTATCTGCAGAAAAACAAGGTGTAAAAGTACAGTATTTCCTCATCAATGTAGCAGAGATTAAGAAGTTTAAACTAAGTCCAAACCCAGGTCTGTTTGTCTGTAAGTATTTGTGTCCTGTAATCACTTAATCACTCAATTAAAATAAGTTTACCAAGTACCTCAAACGGTAAAGTGCAGTACTACTATAACATGTCTTCTTTGTTCTTCCAGTCATGTACCTGTACCTCGTGGGGCTGCTGCTGTTATACTACGTGTACCGCTGGTTCAGGGAGCTGCCCAGGGTCCCAGACAAGGGCAACAAGTATGTGTACATCACAGGCTGTGACAGCGGCTTTGGAAACCTCCTGGCCCGCCACCTGGACAGCAAGGGCTTCAGAGTGATCGCCTCGTGTTTCAGCGAGAAGGGAGAGGAGGATCTGAGGAAGTCCTGTTCCCCCAACCTGAGAACAACACACCTGGATGTGAGGTCCCAGGACAGCGTGGCCAAAGTGGCCGCCATGATCAAGGACAAAGTGGGGGAGCGGGGTGAGTGTCCCTGCAGTCATGGACCCCAGAGGAAGTCCACTGACCTTGGAAAAACATGTCACTATAATAATTTAAGCTAATTTATATAGCAGTTACACTACAATCAACTCATAAAATACCCAATTATCACAAGGTACAGTTCAAAGGCTACCAAACATCTACAGAGGCGACAGATTGTGATAAACTTCCCAAGTTTACAGTAAGTGACAGTAAGACAACTCGCCAGTTGTTGCAAGAATAAAGTAAACAAAATGAAAATTACCTTGAAACTTTTAATGATTACACTCTAGTTTAATCTTAACATAAATGTAAGCACATTGTGAATCAATTGCCTGAGGCTGAACACTGTCTGGTAAGAGGACAGCAGTTCAAATGATTTATATTCTGGGGAATAGGAAATACAATAATAAATTATTAGTTTGTTTCGTCATTGAAACTCAGCAGGGCTTCACGGTTTCTTAGTATTTTGCTTTTATATTGCTGATGTTAGATATCCCAAAAAAACAAACTAGTGTGTCACACATTTAACGATTCATCTCATATCAAATGGATTCAGCTTGTATTAACATGCTTTGAATTGTTTCCGCCCTCTAGAGATGACTATTTGATGAGTCTTCCAAAAGATCTTATGTGTTATGCGTGTGATCCTCCCCAGGCTTATGGGCTGTAGTGAACAACGCAGGCGTGTCCCTCCCCTCTGGACCCTGTGATTGGCTAACCATCGATGACTACAAGTCCATGCTGGACGTCAACCTGAACGGAGTGATCGCAGTGACCCTGAGCGTGCTGCCCCTCATCAAGAAGGCCAGGGGTCGGGTGGTGAACGTAGCGAGTGTGTTCGGGAGGATCAGTGTCACAGGAGGCCCGTACCCTATCTCCAAGTATGGAGTGGAGGCTTTCAACGACAGCCTCAGGTGAAACATTAACTCACAAATTAATTATTTGTCACAATATCAGCGCCTTTTGAACACAAACACTGATTAAAGAAATGTTTACTTAGGTTAAATATGGCACCTTTTGGCGTCAAAGTCCTCTGCATTGAGCCGGGCTTCTTCAAAACAAATGTGACGGACAGTGCTATCCTGACCAGAAACGTGAAGGATCTGTGGGAGAAGATGCCCCAGGAGGTCAGAGATGACTACGGAACGGAGTTTCTAGAAAAATGTAAGTTTGGATCATGGTTTCTTTTATGCATTTAGTTTGAATTGTTCTATTTATTTTACTAATTTTCCCTCCCTAGCGCTAGCGGTAATGAAAGATAAAGTTGAGAAGATCAGTGATGGAGACCTGATGAAGGTGGTGGGCTGCATGGAGCACGCCGTGTCCGCCGTCCGGCCCCGCCACCGCTACTCCCCCGGCTGGGACGCCAAGCTCTTCTGGCTGCCGCTGTCCTACATGCCCACCTGCGTCTCTGACTACATCATGACCTCTCAAGCCATTCCTATTGCCAAGAAATAATTTTGTGCACTTTTTATGCAATTCAAACATTTCAGGTTTACCAGTGATATTAGTTTTTTTCTTTTATTGAAGCAAAGAGCAGTAAACCAAACAAAGGTAGTCTCAAAATGAAACATAAGATTACACCGAAACGAGAACAAAAGACAAACAAACTCATGTCTCTTTTGCATCGTGTACACACTTAAGGCCACCTTATCTAGATCTTATCAGATGTAGTTTGCCTTTGGCCTGATGATAGGCATGTGTGAAAGGTTAGGGACGAGCAATACAAAAGAAGCCTGAAACAAAGGGCTCGGTTTTTCTGTGTGGCAATGCACCTTCAAATAGAATTTCAATTATTGTGATAAGGATTGTCCTCTTAATCGAATTGTGAATGCAGAGTGATAATGAGAAGTAAACAATGTTTTTGTGCAACAGGAAAAGTTATTTCTCAGCATTATCAATGTTTATTACTAATAAATACTTGTAATACATTTTGTTGTAAGCTTTCAATGTGGACCTAATTTTAGATGCTTTTAATTATTGGTAAGTAGAACTGCATCATATGAGCAGATACATTTATGTGTAAAAGTAACTAGTAACTTAGTGTGCAAAAAAGTAAGACTTTTCCCTCTGAAATAGTTACTGTACAGTACAAATATTAAGCAGCAATAGTCCAGTAAAGAGCAAGTATGTCAAGATGGAATATAAGTACAGTACTTTAAATGTATGCATGTTTAGCAGACTTTTAACTGTACCTTGGATTATCATTTTGTATATAAACCAACTAAACCTTCATATCGTTTTTTTATTTTACTGTTGCCAGATTGAACAGAATTTAGATATAAAGTTTCAAATAGGCATTTTAGGATCTGAACTTGACTTTATACATTAGTTGTCACATTTGATTAGAGTGCTGAAAAGGATGGCAGTGCTATATGAATATTTACCATGTTAGAGCAAATCATTCATACTAGAATTACTGGATGTTTTACAGTTAGCATTTGTGAAGTAGGCATACAGATACTGTGATAAACCTGAGACGTAATTACTAATGATGCATTCCAAATTACTTTACAATCGAGCAAATAGTTCAGTCAGTTATCCCACAGACAATGGAATCAGACTCGCTATATAAAAAAAACTAGTACCTAATATTTGCTCTGCATATTGAATTAATGCAGAGCAAGCAGGGTTATTACACAGCAAACAGGATTTTCTATCCCTATATAATCCGGCTACTCTAAATCTACGGCCTGAGGTCAGACTTTCTTTGGTATGTGAAATCCAATATGGAATAAAGCAGTCAAAGGCATTTCCACGAATGCCTATACATTCAAAACCCTATTTAATGTGTGAAGGGGTTTAAATAGCATTGTTGGCCATGGACACTTGGGTAATACGTGCCTTAAATTATATCATTAGTATTCCCTCAAATCTGTATGCACAACCATGTAAAACCTACAGTTGGTATTTTATTAAGCTGAACCAGTCGGAAGGGAAAGTTGTTCCACCACAGTTTGTTATCCCTTAAAGTTTAAACAAACACTCATCCACTTGCTTTGTCCACTGTTTTATTTCAGCATGTGACAATCTGCAACCTGCAACACAGTTCAGATAACTCAACATGACCAAGATTGCCATCTTGTGTTCAGAGTGGATTACAGCAACTTCATGGAATCCACCATTAGGAACAAGATTCTCAACTACAACTTTTCAAGCATATAGTAAATACAGTTGACAAGTTGTTTTGTGTAAAGACAGTGTTTTATTCCATCTTCCATTGGAAACATTAAATAGAACTTTTCAGGATGACTAGACAGGTACATTTGTATTTTGACATGTTTTACAAACCAAGTGCTCATAACCGCAGAACCCCTCTTCTTTTTCCTTTATCCCTCCTATTTTCTCACAGATGTTTAGTCTTTGTTTGCGTGCTCCTCAGCCAGCTTCTGTGCCTTCTCAACGACCTCCTCGATGGCGCCCACCATGTAGAAGGCCTGCTCGGGCAGACTGTCGTACTCACCTACAGGGCACAGGTACCAAAGAAATCAGTACTTCAAATAGGAAGATGAGGCACAATCTAGAAAAGTGTGAATTATTAAGTACTTTATACAAGTGACGGATCTTCTACACTTACCGGCAAGAATGCTCTTGAAGCCCTTGATGGTCTCCTTGAGTGGCACCAGCTTGCCCATGTGACCGGTGAAGACCTCGGCCACCTGGAAGGGCTGGGACAGGAAACGCTGGATCTTACGGGCACGAGCCACGGTCAGTTTGTCCTCCTCAGACAACTCATCCATACCCAGGATGGCAATGATATCCTGCAGGGACTTGTAGTCCTAGAGGAAGAAAGTAGAACTCGTTAGCCTGATATGTTTTTTTAGTCCTAAACTATATTTATAAAAAGATAATTATTAAGTCCCAAACCTGAAGGATTTTCTGCACATTACGGGCGATCTCGTAGTGCTCTATTCCGACGATGTTGGGGTCCATGATACGGGAGGTTGAATCCAGGGGATCCACAGCGGGGTAGATACCCAGCTCAGCGATGGCACGGGACAACACAGTGGTGGCGTCCAAGTGAGCGAAGGTGGTGGCGGGGGCAGGGTCAGTCAAATCGTCAGCGGGCACATAGATGGCCTGGTGGAGAGGATCGAGACTCAGTTCATATTTAAAAAGAACATTTCCATTTGAGTGTCCATCTTTACAGTTTCAAAGTTTACCTGCACAGATGTGATTGATCCCTTCTTGGTGGTGGTGATTCTCTCCTGCATGGTTCCCATGTCAGTGGCCAGAGTGGGCTGGTAACCCACAGCGGAGGGGATACGACCCAGCAGGGCAGACACCTGAGAGGTAAGAGCTTTGGTTATTATCGAGTCACATTTAAGATCTGTAGCAGAGTTTAAAAGTAACAATCCCAATGAACTGCCATTACAAATATGTATTGTTATCCTACTGACAGACATGGAGGTTAGTACAGACCTCAGAGCCAGCCTGTGTGAATCGGAAGATGTTGTCAATGAAGAGCAGCACATCCTGACCCTCCTGATCACGGAAGTACTCTGCTACGCTCAGACCAGTCAGAGCCACTCTGGCGCGGGCGCCTGGGGGCTCGTTCATCTGTCCGTACACCAGCGCCACCTAGCAGAGACAACAATAAAAGGTGAGTGGATGATGTTTGCTTGCATTTCAAATGTCTTATTTCAAGTTCCAGTAGTTGCCTAAACCCTCACCTTGGAGGTGTTGTCATTCAGGTTGATGACACCGGACTCAATCATTTCATGGTACAAGTCGTTTCCCTCACGGGTACGCTCGCCCACACCGGCAAACACAGAGTAACCACCATGGGCCTTGGCGACATTGTTAATCAGCTCCATGATCAACACAGTCTTGCCCACACCAGCACCACCGAACAGACCTGAGAAATTAAAGATTTGTTTTATTACAAAAAAAAATGAAGGAGCTTGCTTCAGTTATTCCATTTTAAAAGCCTAAATATTTATGTGTAAGCACATACCGATCTTTCCTCCCTTGGCGTATGGGGCCAGCAGGTCCACCACCTTGATGCCAGTCACCAGAATCTCCTGCTCCACACTCATGTCTGTGAACTCAGGGGCTTCAGCATGGATGGGTGCAGTGCTATGGGAGGAAAGAAAAAAAACATGTTCAGCTATTTAAAGAGTACAAATTAATACAAACCAATATTAATGTTTTCAAAGTCCTTGTTGCAACACTGCTCTCAAATTCACTTCGTAAAAAAAATTAAATTATTTAATATCATATATGCAATTGTGTTTTTATAAGTGAACTCACTGCTTGGTGGTGATGGGACCCCTCTCGTCGATGGGCTCACCGATGACATTCATGATCCTGCCCAGAGTCTCGGGACCCACTGGGATTCTGATGGGGGCGCCAGTGTCCAGAACCCTCTGTCCACGGACCAGACCCTCTGTACCGTCCATGGCAATGGTACGCACTGTGTTCTCACCTAAACACAAACATTTGTTTAGTTTATTTTCCACTGTAGAAATGTAAGTCCCCACTTTCAAGACTGAAGGTTAAAGTTTAAGTGGCTCACCAAGATGCTGTGCCACCTCCAGGACTAGCCTGGACTCGCGGCCGGCTACTTCCAGGGCATTGAGGATGGGAGGAAGGTCCTCGTCGAACTGGACGTCGACGACGGCACCGATGACAGCCACAATGCGGCCGGAGGCGGCTGCAGCAGCGGCGACAGGTGCGACATAGTCTCTGCCTGTAGAGTAAACAGTACCAGTTAGCTCAGTGTCATGACCTTGTCAGGCCAGTGTATTCAAACATGCCATCCTTCCCGTTAAATAGCACCGGAAAGGGACAACTGCGTGTCTACGGTCCTTCTCAATGTCAAGTAATTGTTGTCGGGCAAACTAAGCTTTTAAAAGCATAAGATTATCGAGTAACGCCCTCTTAAACAATCGATAAGAGTAACGTAACTTCTGTGAGATCCAATGTATTAATCAGTGCAAACGCTAAGAAGGTATTTCCTGACTTTAATACAACTAACGTGGAATGACCGATGAATTAAGTCTAATGTTACTTCAAGCTAACATGGCTAATGTGACATCGGCTAATGACAAACGCAGGACATTGAATGGCAAGTACCTTTATGATCAACCCTATTCGTCATGCTTATACTGTTTGTATATGAATGTAATGATATTGTGGATAAACATGAAATGTGTCTTTCTGCATTGCTAATCTACTTGCCAGACCTTGCTAAAAACGTAACAAGTAATGCTAAGTTAGCAGGCTCTGATGGCAGCCTCATGTCATTACATAAAGGTCATTGATGCAAGCACAAGAAAAACACAGCCTGGATATTTTACTTTGCATGACATGTGTCAACATGAACATAAATGCATAAGTGCACCCATACAAACGTTTGCAATTAGTCCAGCAGATTTAAAATCCGACATATTAATGTTAAGGCCTGCTATGGCAGCCTGCATGATGCTACCGATAGCTAGCTAAAATTAGCATTTCCCCTGCCCTTCCCTGACAGGCTGGTAAATGCGTATTTCACTTATTGCGAATTAGCTGAAACGCTCCATTGCATGCAGGACTTACGTGAGAGTACGGCTGGAGATCCAGCGAGGGCCTTAAGGGGTGCGACCCCAGGCTTAAGAGCCTGCAGTGCTCCGGTGCAGCAGCGTCCCACAGCTCCCAACATTGTCAAAATGGCTGAAGGTGGATAGAGACGGAGGAACTTGCGGCTTTATAATGAATGGCCGAGGAGGTGAACTGCGCATGCGTGCTACGTAGGAAACGCTGATATGGGCATGCGCAGAAGTTAAGCTCCACCAGCTGACATTCTGCCCTCCAGAGCTGCAGAGGAAATGTGACGACTGTTGAATGACACTACAAACAAAAGGTGGCATATAATATGAATTATCATTGATATCAGTTCTTTAGTTATTGCAAACTTTGGAACAAATAGTTTGAGCATCCTTAGGGTGTCACCAAACCTTTTGTACACAATGTCCCATGTCAGTGGAAGTTAAGTGTTCAGCTCCTCCCCTAACATTTGTTGCTTGGGTCACAGGACAGTCTCCTCAATCCCCAGATCAATTGCTTACAACTCCTCAGTTGTTTCATTGTTCCATCTGCTTGTGTTCACAGAACTAGAAATGAATAACCACATCATTATCTATGCTATTTACCTTAACAAAAGGTGTCCGCTGACTTCACCATGTCAGTTTAGTACACTTAAAGGTATAATTAGGATTGTTTGAAATGGGGTTGTATAAGGATCTAATCCATAGTCAAGGCATTAAGTGATCAGGGGCATACAAAAACTGATTTTAGCCTCTTAAAAAGTACCCAACAAGAAATGCATCAGTTGTTGTGTGTACACTATATTTAGAATATTTCAAGCAGGCCTTTGCGAGGGGGGTGCCATTAGCTTTGCCCTCTGCAGAGCTGCCAGACTCCATTGACAAAAGCAGTCATTGTACATTGTACTGTGTTCTTGTAAAGCAGAACACAGGGGTTCTCTCAATTGTTTGTTTGTTGTTGTTATTGTGTGACTTTGGTGAAACTTAACCAATTAAAACTAAATGATCTAAACTGATTTACCAGTTGGACAGTGGTTTAAGTTCCAACATAGGCTAGTAATACAAATATAAGTTGAGGGGATTTGAGGAGGACATAAGTTATTAGTACTCCACTCCACAACATTTTAGAGGAATACATTGTAGTTTTTACTCCTCTTCATTTGTGGGACGGCTGCAGTTAAAAGGGATTGTTCCTAAAAGGTTAAGATATGACAATGACATTTTATTATTATTATTTTAAATAAACCATTACAATTTTAAGTATAATACCATATATACAAGGACATTCAAATATATAAGCGAAAACTATTTTTGGGTTTTTAGAAGTATATTTGACTGTTAATGCACTTTTAAACTTGTATTGATGATTGTATTTATTACTTTCAATCAATCAATCAATCAATGTTTATTTATATAGCCCAATATCACAAATGTTACATTTGTCTCAGTGGACTTCACAGTTTGTACAGAATATCAGTATGACAATACGACACCCTCTGTCCTTAGACCCTCACATCGTACAAGGAAAAACTTCCAGAGGAAAAACTTCCAGAGAAACCCCACAGTTTAAAGGGGAACATGGGAGAAACCTCAGGGAGAGCAACAGAGGAGGGATCCAGCTCTCCCAGGACGGACAGACGTGCAATAGATGCCGTGTGTACATTGAAAAGATAATACATTTTACAGCGTAGGTAGACCAAATGTTTGGAAATGCATGTGTCTATAATAAGAATATGAATCCACGAGGATGTCAACAATCCTATGGGAGCCATCAGGGAAGTAGTATGATGAGAGTCAGGCAGGACCGCAGAGACAGGTTCAGCCACGACTCGAAGTCCAGGACTCAGGATCCAGGATTCAGGATGCAGGACTTATGATCCAGGACCACAGCAACAGGATCAGCCACGACTCAGGATCCCGGCGTAGATAGACACCAAAAATAAATTTGGGGGAAGCTGGGTTATTCGGAACATGAGAGTACACAGGTACAGACAGAGAGAAGGAAGAAGTAAGGTGTTCCCCGACAGTCTAAGCCTATAGCAGCAAAACTAGGGGCTGAATCTAATCAGCCCTAACTATAAGCTTTATCAAAAAGGAAGGTCTTAAGCGCACTCTTAAAAACGGATAGGCTGTCTGCCGCCCGAACACAAACTGGAAGCTGATTCCACAAAAGTGGAGCTTGATAAGAAAAGGCTCTGGCTCCCATTGTACTTTTAGAGACTCTAGGAACAACCAACAACCCTACATTCTTGGAACGCAATGCCCTAGTGGGACAGTAGGGTATAATGAGTTCTTTAAGGTAAGATGGCGCCTGCCCATTAAGGGCACTTTTAGCGCGGAGTGATAGAGTGATACAAGTAATGGTTTAAACCGTTATCCAAAGTCTGCAATATTTATTAAAAGTGCATTTTATTCTAATCCCAGAGTAACCAATAAACATGCTTATTATTATTGTTTGGAGAAAAATAAAATTGAAAGATGATGATAGTTTAAAATAATACAAATGTCATTCTTTAGCTTTACTTGCTTGCAGTGATTAAATATTTAAGTTAATAATACCACAACATGAAATCCATAATTACTCAATTTAGTAGCAAGTATTATAGGCAAAATGTACAACAAATATTACAAGTTGAATAGAATAGTTCCCCTTTTGCATAAAATTGACTGTTTAGCTAAACATATAACGTTCACATTTAAAAAAAAACAAACATATTCTATAAATAACTGAAGTTTAGAAAGGTGCTTCTTTCAGTCTAGACATTTTGAAATGAGAAAGCAGGCTGAAACACAGGTGTAATTAATAGCACTAATGATGTCTCCCTGCAGGCTTCCGGGCACAGTTCATGGAACAGAGTGTTTTCCTGAAATCAAAAACAGTCATTTTGTATTTCTTTAAAATAACTACTGTTTTTCTCAATTGCTTTGGCTCATGTTTGAAAAAAGCTGAACACTCTCTAAACTGTAAGTGCAATTGTTCTTATTGTTAGATGAAACATCACAAATGTATTGCATGCAGTTAAGGCAGTAACTGACTAGGCCGATGCCACCTAAATGAAAAGGTATTTTGTGATTGTTCAAGCTGCACTAGTACAAACATTTCCTAATTTTTATACGTGGAAATGTATCTGATATACAAGATTTACTTACTGTACTCTACGAATGTCAGAATTCTCTGCCTAAATGTCTCCAATATCACATTGGCATTTTTAGATTTCCTTTTTCAACAGTATCTGCTAAACGAGTACTTTTGGTACATTAAGTATATTTTGATGCTAATACGTTTGTACTTTTACTTGAAACAACTTTTGAATGCAGGACTTTTAATTGTAACTGAGTATTCCTACACTCTGGTACTTCTAATTTGACTAAGTACCAGATCTGAGTACTTCTTCCACTTCTTTCTACCAGACTAGTATTTTCTTTTAGAGTTTAGGATGCAGCAAGTGTGCATTTCAAGCCAGGAGAGGTACAACCACCATGTGAACACTAGAGGGCGCTGCTGTATTGACAGAGACAGAATGTGCAAAGGAAGTTTTTTGTGCAAGTTTGTGTGAGTGTGTGCGTTTCTGACAAGTGTAATGCTTGTTCTTGCTTGCAGGCTTAAATCCGTAAGTCTTCTTAGCCTCATTTAAAAGCATAATGTAAGTGATTTGTACAAATACCCTATGGTAGAATTGTATGTAGCAGATTCACTATATTTACATAAATCAGAGACAGTCAGTGTGTTTAGGGAAAATTAGTAAAATTCTCCTTTAATGTGTTCCTTAAATGTAGTTTGTTTATTACTGGTACTGATTGAACAAGGCTTGGCATCACTGCTCTTACCCACATATGATTATCCGACTGTCTGCAGGCACCATCTCTACTAGTCTGTATTTGTCTGTGAAAACACAGCACATATTTGGATTAAAGATCCTGTGAATGCCAAACTAAAGTGGGATGAGTGATGACTGAGAACACCTTGTGTTGACAAGCTTTTGTGGTGATTTGTTCTATTATTACAGCAGGAGATCCCTCTGAATGTCAATTAACTTGAACAGTTCTTGTGAAAAAGGGAGACCTGTTTAAATACTCCTCCACCTCTGGAAATATTGTGACTGTGTTGCAGTTACTATAGCCATGGTGATGAAGCTCAATGAATTCACGACGTGCAAGAATGGACATGTTACCATTTGAGATGTCGAGAAAAGTCTGCTAAGTGATCCTCTCTGTATTTAGATACACAACAATAACCTTTATTTAAATATGTGCAAATGTTTCCAATCCCAAACCAACCTGTGTTTTGTCTCCATCAGGTAACCCCGCCCCCCTCCTTCATCATGCTTGGGACAGCTGCTGACCTTCGACCTGGCACAGACATGTTCCATGCATTTCTGGTGAGGAAACACTGTTTTGCTTTTCAAGCTTTTTGATCAAAGACCGTAAAGGTGATGAGAATACTCTGAAGCAGATGGTAGCTTACAGCGGTGAGTTGCTTTTGGGATTTTGATATGGTGTTTTAAGCCTTGCTAGTGGCATGACTCGAGGCAATGAAGAAATGTAAGTCTGCCTGTCAGTCCAACACTGTATTCCAGACGTACATTACATTGCATTGTATTTAGCTGACGTTAATGTCTCAACAATTATTGAATAGATTTTTCATGAAATGTTGCTCATGGTCAAGATAGGATGCATTCTAATGACATCTTATCCAGCACAACACTTCAGTTTTCAAAAGCCTGCAAAGCTAATAACATTTAGCGTCGGGTTAACCTTTGCTGCATTTATGTGATATTGGAAAAATCGGGAAAAAAAGCCAGCAACTCATTTTGTGTTTGTGTCTGCGTGGCAGATTTAGGTAACTGTTGGGTTGATAGTAAGAGACCTTTTTAAAAATATTGAATGTTACATTTTTGATATTGTATTGATAACTGTTGTCCATGCAGAATGACCTAGATTAGTAATACAAGTTATTATATATTTATATATTATATAATGTACTGGTGTAGCAACAAGTATAACACATAGAAGCTCAAATATACAAGCTATCAAAGTGTTATTTACACACTCTGAGCAATAAAAGACAACACAACTTATGTATAGCGCCCATGTTGTTTCCACATTATGACTTAAAGTTAATGAACACACCAAAGTCAAAAGAGCGGCATCAAAACTTGTACATTTTGATCATCCGAGGATCACATAAAAGCAGCATTTGTGTTTGATGCTCGCAAACATTAGCATGCTTAAAGACAATAACTGCCAGGTACAAGACAAGCATGTCATATTTGAAACTTATGCTTTTAATCTGTGATTGACAACGTATAGTCCTCTATCTGAATATCTGTGGAACAGCACCCAGTAACACATTCCTATAATATACCATGACTGTTCCACTTAAAGGATTATTTTCAGTTTGACCTCGGTCTGTGGAGTGGCTGTCAGCTCTCCTTTAGATCAGATTGGTATGAAAACCTGTTGAGACATACATATCTGTTTCGCTGCTCTGAGTACTCTTACGTGGGGTTTGCCTTTCACCTGCTGACAATCAACAGCCTCTGTTGTCAGAGCTGTAACTATATGTTGAAGGAACATGTATTATCTTGTAAAAACAGTGGTTAGACCAAATGTCACAGGAAAGATACCTGCAGGGGTAAGGGGATATCAAAGAGCTAAGTGGTGGCTTCCACAGTGTCATAAAAGAAAGCCTCACACTTGTTTTGTTTTTCCTTCTCCTTTCACACCACACACATGGACACAGGCCCCGGCAAGATGTCAATCAAATATTCACGTAGAACGACCTCAAAGAGACATGAACAGTCTGCAAAGAGACACAAGATGACCGCAAAGGGACACAAAATGATAACAAAAATAGACTCTTAAGTACAACGTGAGGAAAGCACAGTGACTCTTTATAATTACATATAGACTCAAAATGACAACAAAGAGACCCTAATTGACTGCAAAGAGACAGAAAACAACAAACTGTCGTCTTTAAAAACGAAATGATGTGGTGTTATATACCAAATGCCAGGTCCTGCTTTTATTGATGCCCTTTATTGGTGTCTGTATCTACTTAGAGCATTACTGTGCTTTTTTTAGATCAATCCGTCCTTATTCATCTATTTAAATATGCACGCTTAAAAGAATGGGTCTTATAATTTAGAGACACTGTTGGGTCTGCTTTGAGAACTCATTATTTCAGAATCCCTGCTTTGAACGAAAGTAGGATCTTAACTTTGAAACTAAATGCATTTAAAAAAGATTGTTACTATTAAGTGGATTTCCAGATACGCTATTTTAGCATCCTATAACTTGATATCCTTTAGTTTTCCATTTGTATATGGTATCTCATATTGAAACTCAGTCGTTTGCTGTGTCCTAGATTTGCTAAATTGTGTGTATTGTACAACAAAAAGAGTGAAGAATCAAAGTTTTATTCATTTAGTAGCCAAAGTTGTACCTATTTAAAACTTTAAGGTCAGACGAGCAATAACAGCATCTTCCTATTTCTCATTACAAACTAGCACACACAATATTTTTAAAAAAAAAATCCCGTAAACCCTTGCTTTGCATAATCAGGTCTCCTCACGAAGGACGGAGAGCGGAACCAGATTTAAGGAGAACTATTTTTCAGGGGAAGCATTCTTGAGTGACAGCTCACCTTTCCTTGCTTTCAGGAGTACAGTAGGCAATAAAAACACACACAGTCATCCCTGTTGCAGAGTTATGTGAATCCAGTTTCAGCTTTTATGGCTGCAGACAGTCTCATGGGATGTTGAGACTCCTCTGATCCGGGACTGCACAGGAATTATAATGAGATTAAAGAGTTATGAGACTTTTCTTTTGGTGCTGAAAAGAAACACGCACCAGGTTTCAATAAGAAAACGGGGCTCATTCTGAAGAAAGTCAACTGTGATAACCTTTAACGGGTGGCTTTCAAGAGACCTCTGGATTTCTTTGACATGAGGTGTATAGGAAATGAATAGTAGACCAATTTGAATGATATCTGAATATAAATTCCATTCACAATGTTGAATGTGACTGTAGACAAAAAGGCAAATGTCAGAGGATATAAATATGGACTTAGCTGTAAATGATAGTGGCACTAGCCTTCATACGGATTTACTTCTTTCTGTCATCTAGAAATTTATGTTTTTAGTGAATTATGCCAAAAGAAATACAGCTCTCTGTGTTTTTACAGATGAATCACGCTACGCTGCTTTTGCAAGGTGTGTTGCCTGAGGGTATAAATCACCTATACAAACTATTCCAGCGATCTGGATTATACTGGAGGGCGAGGCCCCTGAAAGCCAAATAAAAGAAAACACCAACATAATGTATACCTTAAAGCAGCTACTCTAGATGTTTTCATAACAACACTTGATAGACAGATTATGTGTAATGTGAAAGATGTAGCTTGTAGTCTGCAGTTTCTCTCTTTGGAGCTTTACTTTGAGCTCATTGTTTTGGTTCATTCCAACAACTTTACTGTTTTGGTTCAGCTCTCAAAGTTCCATTGTTGCCAGATGCTGCTGCAAAAAGCTCCAAATATTCACTACCTGCCCAGCCCTAAATCCCAAATGGCAGCTAGCTAGAGAACATAGCAAGCATTTTGAAGCCAGTTTTTGGTGGGGACGAAACATAGCTAAAAGCAGTCCTGATGCAACCAGTGTTGCTGTGCGCTGAAACATTGTATAGGCGACTTTTTGCATCCAGGATCATTATGAAGATTTCCAGCTTACACCACCAATGTAAATTCAAAATTCTCCAAACAGTACAGTTGCAGTTAACATCCATGTCTGTCCTAAATGCCATAATAATAGTTTCTTAAGAACATGTTTTGTGAAGTTACGTTGACTTTGACCCTCGGTCCAAATGGACGTTTGTGCTAAGACATTCCAGAGGTATTGCATTCAGGAGAAAGAGACAGATGGACAACCAGCACAACATAATGCCTCAGGACTTTCATTTAACAGTTCAGTAAAAAGCGAGACTATGTAACCTTTGCTAAAGAGCACCACAGTGGCCAAAAGTAACAATTAGAGGCATGGTAAATGCTAAAATACAGTGTAATGGTATCAAGCCCTCAGAAATATCTATCTTAATTAAGATAACAAAATAATACTTTACATTACAGTACTTTTGCCAACAAACAGTAGGACTCAGTGAAATAGATTTGAAAGAGCAGTCAACATTCGTAAAATGCCTAACTCTTCACAAATATGACCAAGGACATGACCTTGGTGTCTTAATGGGTGCTCCCATTAACCCTAACCCTAACACATTTAATTCTTTTTTGAATTCTAACCAGCTGTCTTTGACACATTGCTTTTATTCCCAGGGGATTTGCTTTCACTCCCTGTTTTTAAATAGTCCAGCACAAATACAAAATGACACTTTCTTAAGAAAAGGAAATAGGAAGGGGGTGCACTCATTGCTCTGTCATGATGCGGGCTGTCTATAAGCTGTACCCCTCCCACACACTCCCCTAAATGGGAGTGAGTGATTTTGAAAGAGGGCTGGACTTCCCTTAATTTACTGCCAGTTTGGAATGGCTTGAATTGAGTCTCATTGGATGCAGAATACAGTGTGAACCTTCAGTAACACACTGCCACTGCTGCTGCTGCTGGTGCTGGTGCTGCTGGTGTCCCCTCAACGTGCCTTGACCTTCAGACTCAATCAGGATCCATCCCTGGAAGAGGACACTCCGCTGGATGCTCAGGACATGGAAACAAACTAACTCTGAATGAAGAATCCTTCTCCTTTTCCCTACTTGCACTTTTCCTGAACTTCCTCACTGCCAGGAGAGCTTTATAGAGCTGAATACATTGGAAAGCTAAGTCAGCAACATTGTGAGTTATGCATGCCTGATGCCTGAGTCTCAAACCCTCATGCTTGTTAAAGCTTGTTCTCTGAGTTTTTTTCTGGAAGGTATTAAAATGTGAGGACGTCTCAGGGTCTTTTTATCCATCTGTGTCTTCTCTTTATCTCTCAGGGAAGTCATGCTGCCTTCTCTGCACTGGCTCCTGCTCCTGTGGGGACTTCAAGGTCTCTGTGCACAGGACTATGGTGAAGACTATGAGGAAGAGGTGGTGACCACCAAGAAGAAGCTCAAAGTAATTCCCTCCAATTCCATACCGCAGAAATGTAAGTATTTGTTCTACATTTGCCCTGGGGCTGTTTCATTGGCTATGTTACACTGATATAACTAGGTAAAGTGGCATGGAATTTGTGAAGGCAGAACATCTTTCACTTTTTTCATCACCGGGAGAAAAAGCTGCTGCCACAGGTTAAAAAAAAAAAAATAGAACATGATACTCAACAAGGACATCGCTGGAGGATGCAATCCACTCGGATTGATCATATCTCTAAGGATTCTCAGTGCCATCCATCTCCTGTGTGACCGCTCAGTGCTCTGTTACCCAAATGTTTTATACGCTCAGAATCCTGGTTCCCCAGGCGCATTCTCTCGGTGACATATTTCCGCCAAGATTAATGTGATTTATCCTCAGCCTCTATTAGATCTGTGACCTCCTTCCTTTGCTGGAGGTTGGTGCGGCAAGTTAAGTTACTTTTATCCCCTCTTCAAAATGTATGTCACATTCATGAACTTATCACACTTTTCCGGAAAAGGAAGCCTATAGAGCCTAAATAGTCAGTAAATCACCTTTACCCCTCCTGAAGGCTCCATAGATAAAGATTTCTCCCTGACTCATAAAATCCATTTGGCTGTGAAGACGTGTATCTATATATTTGGCTGGATATGAAAGTCTTTTTCCACAAACCAACTACAATATATCTTGTTCAGACGAGTTGAACAGCCATACTGTGTTGATGTGAAAGTAATTAAAGATGTGCTTGGAAAGGTCCAGACGAGTAACTTGGCAACAGAAAACTCATTAATAATACATCATGTGCAGTTAACTTGTTGGTTTGTTTGTTTCATCTGAAGCAATTACAGATATCTTGTGATGAAATGCCAAAAAGTAATAGAATGCAATCCTTTTAAACAGTTTCCCCTTATTTACAGTCTAAGCTAGGCTAACCAGTGTAAACTTTAGTGTTAGATCTTCTCACCAAACTGAAGAAAATAAATAAGGCCCCGATTATACTGGGTTGTTTTTTGTGATTGTTGATAAGCAACCACCAAATCACCTGTTAGTCTCTCCATTCCTCTGACCACAGGGCTGAAAGGATGTTAGCTAACAGTAGTTGCGTGAGCTAACGTTAGCTTAGCGCAAAACACCACAGAAGGTCCAACTCTCAAATGAATCAATTGCTTTTCAGTCACATTGAGCGTACAATTCCACGAAAATGCTTCGCTGTAATTCAAAATAATTATAAAAAAGTGTCCAAAGCGGCTGTCTGAATCAGTGCAAACCCTTACTTCTTTCTTTTGATATCATTGCTAAGATTTCTTCTCTTCCTTCCTTAGCACTCATAGATGAAGATTGCAGTTTGGAGATAGCCTTCCTGATCGACAGCTCGGAGAGCGCCAAGGACAACCATGCCCAGGAGAAGCGCTTCGCCTCGGACGTGATGGGCCGGCTCCAGAACCTTCAGCTGCAGACGGGCCGGGGCCTCAGCTCCAGGGCCGCCCTCCTCCAGTACAGCAGCCATGTCATCATAGAGCAGACCTTCAAACAGTGGAAGGGTATTGAAGACTTCAAGGCTCGAATCACACCCATCGCGTACATCGGTCACGGCACCTACACCACCTACGCCATCACCAACCTCACCCGTATCTACCTGGAGGAGTCGGGTCCCAGCAGCATCAAGGTGGCCGTCCTGCTCTTCGACGGCGTCTCACACCCGAGGAACCCAGATATATTTTCGGCCGTGGCTGATGCCAAAAACCAGGGCATCCGGTTCTTCACCATCGGCATCACACCTGAAGCCAACGAGCAGGCCAACGTAGCCCAGCTGCGGCTAATCGCTAGCTCCCCTGCCTCCCGCTACCTTCACAACCTGCAGGACCGAGCTATTGTGGATAAATTCATCAAGGAGATTGTGAGTAAAACATACATGTTGTTTTTGTTTCAGATTTGATACCGAATTTTCAATAGTGACATTGGTCAAATTAGCTTTCTGGTTTTAGATGCTATGCATTATAAAGTCATTGATTTGGACAAAAATAAATTACAAAAGTACTTTAATCATTTGTGTAATTGCATATATTTTTAGTTTTTGTTTATTACCAGTAATGTAAAGTAGGTTTGAAGCTTCTCTAACTTCTTCATTCCCCCAAAAAGCAAGTCCCTACTAAACCACAGCTTTATGTTTTACCTTATTACATCACGGATGTACACCTGCCACCTGCTGCCATAGTAACAGTTCTGCTGTCATCACTGTAAGATAAATTCATCCTGATTCACTCAGATGGGCGAAAAAATCTCTTTGAAAATTCTTTTTCGCCCAAGCGTGTTTTGGAAATTACCCCAAGACAAAGTTTGTCTTCATTCCCAGTTTTTTTATCGTGAGTGATTTGGGTCACTTCCATGAACTGACGGTTAATTTCCACTGACATAATTAGAACATGTGCTGCGCAGCAACATCCTGCAGACACAACCGGGCTGCTGGCTGTAACATATGCTCCGCGTTATAAAACTCCTTGTGGGAAAATCGGGTGCAGTGAGAGCACAGCATGAACATGCATGCACGCTACATTTTTCTACCAGCTCCACAGACACCACTTCAAATGTTGACACAGGTGGTATACGTCCAAATATGATAAGGGGAAACTTTATAGAAAGGTTGCATCGAGGCTCCGACAGCATTGATCCTGACAGCCTGCAATTCTGCTGGCATGCAAGAGCCCAGCAGCACACTTTCATCTCATTGCCCTCCATGGGCAGCATCTGTATGTCATCAGACAGTTCCTCTGTGAGACACTGTGTTCAATCTTTCAGTCTCAGCATTTGACCACATCACTCCCCTGTCTGTTGTCTTCAGACACCCCACCCCAACACCGAAACATCCCCCGAATGCTTAGCGAGGATATTTTACCCACCCCAATGCATGTGGTTTGTTTTTCGTCTCATTGGAATTGTGACCATTCTTCCTTGTGTAGAGAATGTGGTTAGCTTTGAAGAGAAAAACAAAGTGTCTGGTGAAAATCGGAGCTTTGCCAAGACGAGGAAACGAAGGATGTGAATCCACTCGCAGAAACAGGTGAAGGAGGTCGGAGGCCTGAACCCAAGCCAGCTGTGGACACGTTTAATTGGGTGTTTGGGTATCAGGTGCTTGGGGCTCTAATAAAATCTTACAATCTAACTTTGAGACCAAGTAAATGGTTTAGGTTACTTTATTTGTACGTAGGTAGATTTTGGGTTGCGTAAGACAGACATCTTTAGACAAACAAAATACCACAACAATCATAACCTAAACCACGAAAATAAAATGATAATAAATAAGTATTGCTTTCATAGTATCTGTGCAACTTTGTTCATCTGATTGATGGCCGCTGGAACAAAGATGTTTTTATTTCTTTGGGACCATAAACCTCCTTCTGTGGAAAGGGTTGTATCTTCATTTAAAAATGGATGTATCCGCTTTACTGTCTGGTTTAACAGGGACCACGGATTAAGCTGAGAGTCATCCATCAGTCTACTTAGACAATATCTCAATTGTAGTCTTTGATTCCTGTGATCTGTTCTGACAGTGTGTGCTGGGGGGGGATAAATGAACCATATGGCCTCAGTCTGACAACATCTTGACATTCTTCTGTTTCTTGCTCCACAGACGGCTCTGGCAGATGAAGGGGTGAGTCTCACGACTGAGCTTTTTTCTTTGCACATTTCTTGATTTATGTCCCCAAATGTCTGACTCTTCTTTCCCTGTGTTTGAAGTGTCCTCTGGCCCAGAGCAAGTGTGCTTGTGACAAGGGTGAGAGGGGACCCAGCGGCCCTGCTGTGAGTATGAATAAATCATTATGATTATATAAGTTATTGTTCATCCCCCTTTCTCATTATATCAGAATTTATTGGATTTTAATTTCATTATAGACACTTTGAAACAGTCAGAAGTATCTTTTTTTGCGTCAGTTGATTTCAAACTGTTGATCATTTAGCCACTTGTTAGCTTGTTAGCACTTGTTTTTTGTAGTAGAACAAAAGCTGAATATGTAATATGATTATACTTTAGCAAACCCAGCGTTAGCTTTGGAAACTAATTTAGTTTCTAATATTTTCATAACTATGAGCATTGTATTATGTATTAAACTATTGGTTCAAAAATATACATTATTTGTTGCTATTCATTTGATAATATACTGTAAGGAAAATATCTCATGCTTCTGGTTGTCCCCTCAACTTTAGATAGATATCGTCATGCTATTTTCTTGTAGACGGAACACAGTAATGCTGTTATCTCAAGCGCTACTTATTTTTAATAACTTAATATTTCACTTTTTATGGTTCTATTTTGGACCTCTGCTAGATACAGTAAGATTATGTTTCCGATCTTGAAACCACATGTTGTCTGCTGCTGCCCATAAAAACCATCACTTCCAACTGAAGCGCTGTAGAGGACAACACAGCTGACAAAAGGCTCCCTAGATGCCAACAGGCTACATAATTGCAGGGTTTTGGGGAGCTTTAGTAAATCATGTGGTTTTGAGTATCTCTGTTTCCCTGCAGCAGTGTTAGTAAAGCAAATACCTTGCATTCCTCTTACAGTTTATTGAGAACAGGCCTAAACAGATATTTACATGGGTAATCAGGAGGATCATGTCTGTCCAAAGAACCCAGCCACTTGGGATTGTCTGAGGACAAATGCTCTCTGGATAGGAGGTTCCATGCACAACTTTCTTCTTCTGCCAATGCCATGTCATGATGTGAACGCTCCTTTTATTACACAGTGAAGGTCAGCGGCAATTAGACGTAGTGGTTGGGCTTTGATGTATTTTCACAGGATGAGAACAGAGTAATTACCCCTTTAAACTTAATGCTACGAACAAAAGCTGTTTCACATCAGCCGCAGCACACTGACAGACAGGGAGATATTTGAAAGATAACAACATGCACGATGCATGGAAACAGAGAGAAGAGGATAACCCCTCTGACTCATCTGCGCCCAGACTTCACCAGAGCTGCACAACATGTTGCCGCAAGATGTAGCCGAGGGGTCAAGAAAAAGATCTCTTAAATTGCAGAACACAAGGCAGCTAACAAGAAAAAAGACTCTTCTATTTGCAGCAAAAGCAAAACATGGATGAATAGCTACACTACAAGTTAAAACAGTTTGGGATTTACACCCATTCACTTTCTTGCTCTGTCAGATGAGAAGATTTATACCACTTATGTCTGTCAGGAAATATGAGCTTAGCATAGCATAAAGGTTAATCAGCCTATTAACAGCTCACAGGCTCATTAATAAACCATGTTCTTGTTTGTTTAGCTTCCCTCTGTTAGCATTTATGCTAAGCTTTTTTTCCTCAAATCTCATGTTCTTTATTATTATTGATTTAAAGCTCTTTATATTAGGTTTAAATGTATCATGTGGTATTTCCTGCATAACCACTTTTTTATTAAGTGGCTATAGCTTACCTTAATATGTTTTGTATGTAGAAAATAAGAATATCTTAGGGGTACAATATATATTATATGATTTGTTTTTATTCAGTTATTTTACTTCCATTATTTTCTACACAGGGCAAGAAGGGCCGTCCTGGAGAAGATGGAAACCCCGGCACGAAAGGACACAAGGTGTTCCCCCGTTAAACAATCACTCATTCACTACCGGTTCAAGACAAGAAACTTCTCGTACAAACCAGGAGGACTTTCCTTGTAAAACTAATATTCCTCTCTCCCTTAGGGTGAGGGTGGGCTCAGTGGACTTCCTGGTCGGGAAGGATCTGAGGTGAGCTTAGTGTCTTCAATCAACTTGGGATTAAGTCAAAATTGACAAGTACAGATAAACAAACTGTAATTATCTTCACCTTTCACACTACCATTGCTCAGAAAAAAAAGTGACAACTATTTTTCTGGGTTTTGTGTGGCAGTGTTTTGTGTCTGTCGCCTTCTGACTTAACATGACTGTTTTGTACACACAGGGGAAATCTGGATACAAAGGAGAGAAGGTATTGTATGGATTCTACTTACTGTACGGTCTCTCTATAGATGATCAGATTCCCACGCTTGTGTAAAATATGCAACAGTCAGAGAGAGTGAAGAATGATGTTTCCAAGGCCTTGAAAGGAAACACTCACAGGAAAGACTTTGAAATATCATGGCCTTTTGTTCTCCTTTTCTTCATCTGTATTTAATGTCAAGCCTGTCTGCTAGAATCTGTAGTTACTTTTCTTTTAAAGGAATTTAATTAAGTAGGTCCCATCTAGTTGGGCCTTGCTCACCAGCACCTGGCTGGGATATTAAAACCCATTTTCCAAGATAAATCTGTGTCATAAACTTGAAATTATGCAAATTGACGCTTTTCTAAACTGCTTTTCCTTCTCTTACAGGGAGAGAGAGGGGAGTGTGGCACTCCTGGAATCAAGGGAGACAGAGTACGTGCTGCTTAATGTTGTTATGATTTAAAACCAAGTCTAACTTTTTGTCACAATTACATTTTTGGTTTTTGTGATCTTTTTCTCAACCCTGTTTTCTTTCTTCTTCTGCTTCTAATATTTTGTATTATTTTCATGGACTATAATTGTTTTAACACCTTTTCTAGGGTCCTGAAGGTACACTCGGCCCAAGAGGAAATCGTGGACTCCAGGTGAAATATATCACAAAATCCAATTCACCATTTGCTAGGTCCCATTAGTTATGATGCTAAATCTGAAATGCTCTCCATTCTGATCATTCATCATCTACTAATCATTTCTACTTTTCAATGCCCATGTGTAACCTTCTCTCTCTTCTTCACATGACAGGGTTCAGTTGGTCCACCTGGCGACAATGGGCCTGAAGGTCCAATGGGTAAAAAAGTAAGTATTCTTCAGTCTTGATGCTTTTAAAATAATGTTCTGCATGCTAGAACCAAACCTCTGAATCTGGGAAGTGTTAAGAACAAAAGGAAACTACAAAAGCAGCATATCCTACTTTCTAGTTTCCAACTGGCCCTTCTTTTACATACACACTTGGATTTACTTTGTGCCAAAGACTTTCCCCTTCTCCAAAACCAGATGCATATCTGAAGGATACTGACTTTTTTTTCTTTTCTTGTCAAGTCTGGTTCCAATTAAGTGTCTTTCATAGTCAGGGGATTCATCCGAACCAGGATCATGAGCGTTACCTGTGGCGTTGCAGAGCTGCAAAAGGTGTTGCTGCATGTGTAAGAATATAAAGTGTGAGAACTCCGACGTAATAAAGTGTTATTTCTGTTCCTGAGGGTTTCTCCTCAGAGACATTTTTTGAATGCGTTTAAAATGCGTTTGGAATTAATCCGATGATCCTGGGCATAAATAACATCAGAAACGTCAGGTGGCCTACAAGCTGATCATACATTCAAACACATATTTGTGAGTTATGATCCGTCACCAGTGGAACATTTGAAGCCGCTTTGAAGTGCCTCATCTGTTATTACCCTGTCAGCTTATTTGTCCTTCCCTACTTTTTAGGCCCCCTCTCTCGTGTTATAGCTGCCAATTCTGCTATGAGCCCACACTCCCCAGCAAGTGTTCCCTCCCTAATTATTTTTGGAAGAATGTTCATGTTGATTGTCTGGCTGTCATTCTATTCCACCTGAATAGCAGACTAATGTCTGGTTCTAAACATCGCCCCGACTTGCCTGAAAGGGCAAGGGAAGTGAAAAAGAAAAGTGCCGGTATGCGCTCGCTAGCATTTCCACACCCTCTTCACGCCTCCTATGTGCCCTCCTGCTGCACACCATGGCCATGATTTACAGCCTCCGAGTGAATAATTGCATTCTTTACCAATAAAATCTTGAAGGATTGAGGGATCCCATTATACATGTCTAAACCCCCTTTAAAGAAGCTTAAATTAGAGGAAGAGAAAGTAGAGTGGGAGGATCTAGGTTCTGGTCAGCTTCACTGATGTCCCATGGTTTCCTACCCCTGACCCAGGACTCACACTCACACAGCAGCGTGTGCATCTCCTCTGGTATCAGCACATGTCTCTCCCTGCCTGTGTTTTATAGGGGGAAAGGGGACTTTCTGGGCCACCTGGAATCCAAGGGGAAACTGGGATCGGCCTTCCGGGACCCAAGGTACAATCTTCATCCTATTGTTTTGGAAAATGAAGTCATGGGAACATAATAAAGCACCTGTGTCTCACCCTGCATTCATGTCGCTCCCTACCAATCAGGGTGCTGTGGGTTACCACGGGCCTACAGGGCCTTCTGGTCCTCAGGGACTTGGCGAGCCTGGACCACCGGTGAGTAGGAAGCGCCCTGTTACTGTGTACCTCAAGTACTGTACCGCACACTTACAGATTAAAATAATAACAGACAGATCTACCGGCAGAGTTCACACTGGGTCTTTGGTTTCATACAAAAGCAATAAATGAAGGCTTCTCATTTGACTACTTTAGATGTTATCAACTGAAGCAGGACCAATTGGCAGGTTCAAACACCTGTTAATGCTAAATCAATCAGTCGGTTTTAATCTGTACATTCTTAAATGTTTACGATCATTTTGAATGAGGAAGCTGTTAAATGAAAATCAAAGATGCACACGAAAAACTAAAGCTTCATGTACCATCATTTATAGTTTTCTTTTGTGGTAATTCCAATATTATAATGTGTAACTGGATAATAACTGAAGGTGCATTTACATAAATTATAACACAATAATGTATCACACACACAACTTGAGGTGCACTTAGGTACCTGCAAGGATGTTTTGTGAAAATGAACAGTTATACGTGTGTGCATCCTGTGATGCCGAATAGACAGAAACTCCCACCCAAAACATAACCTGCTATACAAAGGTAATAACTGGGATTGTTGAGTTGTTTTTCTGCATTAATGTCAGTACGCTGTGACGGATAAAAGTAACATAAGTTGGATCCGTCTGTCTGACCCTTGATCATCTAACATGTCTTCTACTTTGCAATCCCCACGTGTAACCCTCACACACACACAGTACAGTATATTGTAAAAGAGGTCATTTTTTATGTTCCTCTTGTGGTCATGCACATCATTTGGTTTTATTCAGGGGCCTCAAGGGTCACAGGGAGTCCAAGGAGAAAGAGGACAGATCGGAGAGGGTCTCCCTGGACCAAAGGTGAGTTAAGTCTTTTATGTCTCTAGCTGTTTGTGCTAACAGTTAAAAGCGTTGAACCCGTTTGACCCCATTTCATGCATTGACCTTCAATTCTCTGCCTACCCACTGACCTGCGCTGAGGACCCAGCTGGGCTCCAGATTTAAGGGAGGAATGACTGCCAAAGACACCGTGTATAGTTAAAAGACATGAGAAATTCCATAAATTCACATCTAGTACAGCGGTGCAGTATGACTCCCATTACCGCACGATATGATCCGGCCCATTGATCGTCCCCGCTGAGGACACGCCGGCGCACAGCGGCTGATGAGACAGGAAAATAGCCAGGACACCTTGTGATGTGACAGCGTGAGTGACTCATGCAGAGAGGAAAGAATGAGTCTGTGTTCCTGTGTCTGCCTCCCTTCAGGATGTACACACACACATGGGGATACACACAGGTGCACCGGGGCTCACAATCCAAAAGTTACTTGTGTTCCTTCTCACAGATTATTCTATTTTGCTCGGTAAATTCCTTCATAATTAACTGCTTTTTAATACCTTAGAACAGTTTAGAATTGTGTCCATGACTCAGTTCAGGGTCCTTCTTTAAAAAATGTTGATCCATTGCTGTTCGTCGCATCTACTGTCTTAAATTAACAAGGTCATTATTGTGCTTTCTACTGCCACCTACTGGCGTGGAAGAGTATTTAACTACTTATCCAGCCACTACATTGAAGGCACCGACGCTCAACAATGGCAAATTATTAGCTATTTTTGTGACTAAGTGAAATTGGTTTTGTCACAGCACTGTGGTTGAAATTCACTGCCTTAGAAATGAGTTGCTTGTTTTCTGCATTCAACAATTGCAGTCATTTGTAATGCCTGAAAGATAAGGCTATCCCATGTTTTCCCAGCAGAATTGTAACTTTCAAAGTACTGAAACAGTATTACAGAACTACACAAGTGAAATTAACACAAGCTATTAAATAACATATACAATACAATACATTACTTAGCTATCTGTTGTAACTCCTGTCGGTTTTTTCTACTCTAGGCAATACAATGACTTAAAGGGGACCTATCATGCAAAATGCACTTTTGTACGTCTTTTATACATGAATATGTGTCCCCGGTGTTCCAGGGAACTCACCAAGTGTCAGAAAACACAACCCTCTCTATTTTCCTCCATACCAAAATCTCTAAAAAAGGGGCTGCAACGGATCTGATAAAAACTGATCCAGATTTGAACACTGTCCTGACGTCAGGACGATGGCGCTACGGCTATTGGGCCAACTCCACCAATCAGGAGGAGACAGCCACGGCCATTGCCGTTCGAAAGCGCTGGAGACGCTGTAGTACATATGCCAGGCCTCTAGATGGTGCTGTTGCTCACAGAATCAACCCTTGCTAAAACAGAGCTAACATTTTTCAAATTGAGCGAAATGAGGCATGGCTAAAATGCATGATCTGTTTGGTATTTTGAAAAAAAAAAAGTATAAATATGCCTTATATAGGTATGGTCCTACACTATATTATTCAAATATAGCATGATAGGTCCACTTTAAGATGAGGATATATGTAGTTAAAAAACATATGTAGCAGCGTCATCATTCAGAAACCCAAGTCAGGTCACATGGGGAAATTATTTTGGAAGTACTTTATTTTGCACTAAGGAAATAAGTAAAATCGAAACCGAAAACTTGCATAGCTACAGAGTTATGAAGAAAACAAGAAGAAATGAATAATGAAGCTTCCCTTTATCGTGCTATCGATGTCTGTGTGTGTTCATTGTCCTGCAGCTGTTAAAAATTGCCTAACTTTAATTTCTTTTTTGATATTTTGAAACATGTGCCCCGAAGCCAAATCTACTCCATAAGTGAACAAACAGCAGAGCGTAACTCTTTGTACTTTTGATAAATGCAGACAGTTAAATGAAGCGTTATTAAGTTAATGGAATGTCTTGAGGTCATGACAGATGTAATCACTTTTGGCTACAGGGTGTCACAACACTGGTGTGGCTTTACATCAGAAGGCACTGTAATTCAGGATTCTTTTTTCCACTTCTCCCATCTAATTTATCATTTTTAAACTTTCCTCTAAAGGGTGACAGCTAGTTCCTGAGCAGGGGGTGGGGAGGGGGGCTCCTTCTCTTCCTCATCAGGAGATTTAGCGGCGAACTCACAGGTGGCATTCTTGTTCTCTACGGCGTGTCTCTACGACGTGTCTCGACAGGCGTCAGACTCACAGGAGCTCTGCAGCCATCTTACCCCGTCTCATCTTCATTAGCACCTCGGCTCCTGTGTCAAAATGAGAGGCTTATGACAATCTATACTTCTTAACGCTGCAATGCAAATGCAGCATTATAATGCTCATCAGGGTACTTCTGCGTCTGTCACTGTTTTTTTATTAACATATTTGCCTTAACCCCAAGATGAAATCTCCAAGAGACATCACTACTTTTTTTATATTCCTCAAGAAATCTGTTTTCCCTCATAAAATGTAAATCTTTAACTCCTGAGATAATGTTAAAACACCCTCTCCTACTAAGGATTGAAAGTGAGACCTGTGCTGGAAAAAGTATTCAGATCCGTTACTTAAGTAAAAGTACCAATACTCCATTACAAGTAAAAGTACTACATTAAAAATCTCACTTGAGTAAAAGTACACTATCAGCAAAATGTACCTACAGTATAAAAAGTACTCATTCTGCAGAAGATTGGCCTCTATATGTCATATAATATTATGTATATGACATTATCAGCTTGGTTATATTGGTCCATTTAGTAGCATTTTACACAGTTCTGATACATAAATTATTGATGTTTATTACTTTTTTTTGTAACTTTTTGTAATTTTTGTACCTAGCGAGAAGTATCCAAAGCATTACAATAAATATAATGTACTGAAAATACATTATTTCCATTTTTAAATGTTGTGGAATGGCAGTATCAGGTACCTCTGAGTGAGACCATATGTTAAGTAAAGCAGATTCTTCCTCATACATCTGAAATCTGAAATCATTAGAAGAAAAACACACCGTTACCAATTCAACACTCTTGGGTGAAATATGACAAGTAGCTTATCGTGGCTAAAGTTAGCAAACATTAAATAGTTATGGCTGTATAATAAAATGACATGTCTCGTCACATGATCTTATAGCTTTAGGAGGAAGCCCAGCTAAATCCAACCATGTGTGCTGCGTGCTACGACTGTCATATAAAAGTTTGACTGAACCTGCAGGAAAACACCTTGGTAGACATAAAAGCATCATGTCATCTGGAACAGTAAGATGAGCTCATTCTAACAACGAGCTTTCTGCTTTTTTATTGTCATGTGCCTTACAGAGAAGCAGTTGTTGGCAATAAAATATAATCCCAGGCCCCCTCCAGCAATATGCAATAAATGTGTATTCAAGAGTCCCTATTATGCTTTTTGGGGTTTCCCCTTTCCTGTACTGTGTTATATATGTTTGTGTGCATGTAAATGGTCTGCAGAGGCTAAAATCCAAAAGCCCAAATGTATTGGCTGGCACTTCAACACATTGTACATGATAGGCCAAGGGGCGGGACAATTTCTAGGAGACATCAAAGCTAACTTTCCATTTTTAACAGATGATTTATTTAAATTTTAGATTATATATTTTTACATTTAGATTTATATTCCTTGTACTCATGCAACTTCCATGAATTGTGCTTGACTGTTTCCATATATAGAGGTATTGGAGCAAATACACACATAGGAAAACATGAACAATATATTCTATATTAGCATGAAGCTAATATTTAGATAATTGCCTCATTTTCCCAAAATTGAAAAGAAAGTCCATCGCATACTTTGCCAATCAGTCCAACTTCATTTACAGGCAAGGACTTTTACAGAGCTCCATGTGGCGTTCATTGCTACCTCCAGCAAAGCCACTCCCATCTGGGTGTTGTAGTCTTTAGGGAGTCAACATCGGAATCTAAAGCATGCTGATATTAGCATTTAGCTCAAAGCACCACTGTATTGCATAAGAATAGCTTCAACACAGACGTGCTAACATGGTTTCTGTACTGAAGGGCTTAAACTGCCACATTTCAGTTAAGATGGTTGTAGAAATCTCAATATAATACATATTTCTATGATGTACATCCCCTCAGGCAATGAATACTCAAACAGCCAGCTCTGTAGATGCTTTACATCCGTTTATGAATGTCAAAACATCCAAAGACAGTCAACCAACAAGAAAAAAACCATTTTGGGGGCGACGGGGTCTCTGAAGTCAGATGTGAGGCTTGTAATAACTCACAGAGGCTTTGAAGGGCTTTGTGTTGCTTTCTGTGGTTGCAGTGTGCAGAAACATTTACTCACACTGCGTGCCAGAAGCGTCTGACAGGGAAATGTGTCCGTGTGATACTGAGTCTGTAAACAGGGCTGTCCATCAACCGCTGCCGAAGCTTGACATGAAGACGTCAAGGAATTTCAAAGAGGAATGTTTTACCCAAACATCAATCAGAAAGCACATTTGGCTTCTATAATGTGTTGTGTAACTATATGTACTGGGCATCAGGTTATTTGAGAAAAGTGAATATGAGATTTTCTTTTGGCCTTCCCAATATCCTTCATAATGCAATCTATGGCCGCCAAGCTAACAGCGGCTAATGTTCAACGCTAAGTGGTCGAATTGAGCCACTTTTTTAAAACACATATAAGCTTTGGATATTCACGAGTGGGGTATTTACTGATGTATTTGATGTCGCGGAACAAAATGTAATAATCTCTTAAACTTGTGTTAACCTCAGACATAAAACACATTCAAAATAATTTGAGACGAGAAAACAGGAAACAACTCATTTTGGGGTTTTAGGACTGATTCCTGCAAAATCTACGAGAGAGATAGATTTGAAAGCGAATAAAAGAGATGCATGACACTATTTACGGCCTGCCTGCTCTACTAACAGAGCTATGTGGCGGCCTGAAAATTGTATATTAACACATATTTAGCCTTTAACAAATATTGTACTAACTGTGATTTAAATAGAATTTGGAGTAATTATACAGCCCTACCTTTATCCTTGTTTTTATTCATAATACCTGCCATTTCACAAGCTAAATTGCAATAACTTGTGTGTTCACAGGGCGGGCGAGGCTTGGACGGGCCGCGGGGGCTCCGAGGACAGCCGGGCGTCGGACTCAAAGGAGACAAGGTAGAGTACAGAGTGGCTGTAAATAAGACGCCTTCACAGGGGCACGGAGATAAAGACAGAGTCAGGCTGTGGGGAAAGCTGCGAGTTGGCAGTGAGTTATATATGAGGTCACATGCTACAGGTGATGAATCAGGGTTAGAGTCTGGACAGTGTAGGAGGAGAGCAGCTGTGCACAGAAAGGTGTTCTCTCTATCTCTCAGACGTCGCTAGGATGACATGAATTGATTTAAAATGTGTTTAAAGTGACATAACTCCCCTTATGTCACTGGAATTTGACGTTAAACTATTAGTGAAACCCCGGAAAGAAGGTGTGTCTTTTAAATGTTTTCCTGCATCCGATGGTGGTGACAGTTTTACCGCAGGCCTCGTGGTGAAGCTCATCACACATGATTGCAATGTTTTCGTATAGTAATGACAAAAAGGGCCTACGGGCTTTTCTCTGCGTTACATGTGATGCTTGAAAAGACATGCAAATATCATCAGGTTATGCGTGTGAAAAGATGTTACTGTATGATGTGAAGAATGTTTATATCTGTGTGCTTTCCACATGCTGTAAATCATGAACTTGACATTTGATGCACTGTAATACTATCAACACTACCAGCTGGTGTCATCATTAACCTTCTGATCCAACCCTGCAGGGGGACTTCGGCCCCCCGGGTCTTCCAGGGCCACTCGGCCTCCCAGGAGTTGGCATACAGGGCGAGAAGGCAAGTGACTCCCACTTTATTTAACTGCTATACAGTTAGTGTGAGACATTCTTTTCATCAATTACATTTGAGTTTGTTTCAGAGACTGAACAAAAATGTTGGGAAAGGGAAGGGGGCGGATAAATAAATATGAATAAGAATGTAGCCTAGGGTTCGTAAGGTCAGTCTGACTTACCGTTCGTCATTATTACAAAAATATGTAATGCGTAAGTTGCACAACTGTTCATGTTTTGGAGCAACAGCTGTGGCCGTTTCCCTAATATGATAACACAAGTTCAGTGCTGTCAGAAGTGGAACTGTATATACTTTACTCAAGTACTGTACTTAAGTACAATTTTGAGGTTACTTGAGTCTTTTTCTTGACACTTTTACTTTTCTCTCGACTACAATTCAGAGGGAAATACTGTATATTTTACTCCACAATATTTGTTCTGATAGCTTAAAAACGTTGTCTATAAGAACAACTTTTTAGATTATCATTCATAAATATCGTTAAGTTATTTTGTCATACAAAAACCATTAATGCTGACACAATTTGTGAGGGAACATTCAAGCGAATAATGGAGTTTATTCCATGATGAAAATAATCATTAGTTTGATACAAAATAGTTTATAATGAGCTCCACTATCTTCAAGGGGAAGACGACTATAAAGAACCAAGATATTTTGTTTTTATAACCATCATATTTGCACAGTTCCTTAGCCATCCAATTATAAGTTGGTGTTCGTTTTTATTTAATCTGGCTTTTTTGTATAACTGCATCCATTGATCGTTACAGGGTGTGGAAGGACCAAGGGGCCCATTGGGGAGCAGAGGCCCCGCAGGAGAGGGCTTTGCTGGATCCAAGGTTTGTCTTTGATAACACTGTGGTTCAGTTGGATGCTAAATCTGCACCATTAAAGCCCCTTTGCACATAAAAGAGTAGTATCCAGCCTAAGATAGGAGCTATAATAAGATCCACTGCCGTGTTGTCTCACAGGGGGACCAGGGGTTGCCGGGCGAGGTTGGCGGCCCAGGAGAGAGAGGGGCCGGAGACCCTGGAGCGAAGGTGAGTCACAGCGCACATCAACGGCAACTACAACCCTAACGTTCTGGTTCACACCCTGACACGCAGCCATGGTTCTTTCTCCAGGGGGAGCCGGGGTCTACGGGGCTGTCCGGTCTGCCCGGCCTGCCAGGGGAGGACGGAGCCCCGGGACAGAAGGTAGGTCAAGTTTTTTCATTATAATGTCACATGCATCAATAATATATCCACCCCCAACCGGATGACATTATTTAGAAAAAGAGACAACTTCATTTTTACAAGATAATTAAAATACAAATAACACTAAGAAATAAACCATCTGGACATTTATTACAAGCTTTAGAATCAAAGGAAGCCTACTTATAAGCATTCAAATGACAACATATTCCATTTTCTCATGATCCGTTCAGCCCCAGACCATTTTGTCATATTTTTTTGTAGGCGGAGGTAAGAATTTACCTTTTTTTACTATGTTCCATCTGAATTGACTCTGACTGAGAAAAATCTATATTGATTCTGACACTTCTACATCGAACTCACAGATGTAACCTTGCTTTGATAAAAGAAATTATTCATATAACCCTTTTAGAAGTGAAGTTGTAGTCATTTGTTTTGGGCATGTCATTTTCGAGCCTGAAACCTGAAAAACAGGCTCGGGGCTTAACAGGTTAACAGTCAATTCATTTTATGTACATTAGGACAATACAGAAGAAAGTGTGATTCATTCTCAACTCTTAATTCTGATCATTCCTACGACCTGTTGTCCTCCTGGATGTTTGAAATCAAACGTCGGTGTTCTCAACTGTGAGGCTAAGGACCTTTGTCTTCTTATAAGTTCACTATAACGTAACATATAACATTATTTAATACAACTTTTGGTTTTAACAAGATATTTTCTAACCATTTTCCTCAAGTCTTGCAAGTAACTGTCTTCCTCTTGTCTTCACACTGCATGATGGATTGTTTCCTGTACATGTATGCAATTCAATATTCTCAAAACAGCAGGAAGTCCATGGAGAATGATGTCATTTACATTATTATCGACCCTGTAGGAAATGATTCCAGTCTTATCATTTCACATGTTGCCTTATTGATCAATGTAGAAGCACACTTGGAAATGTATGTTCTGTATCTGTTTTTCTCCTAAATCAAACCTGTGAAAGTATAAAACCTGTGTGTGTGTGTGTGTTCAGGGAGAGACAGGACCCACAGGCCTCAGGGGGTTAGAGGGGACCCCTGGAATTGGCATCCAGGGTGAGAAGGTAAAAAAAAGTGACATTTTTGCATTTCTTGCACTTGGACTTTGCTGACCTGCATATAATAAGTACAGTCACAGCTATCATATTAGTAAGTGTATTCCCAAATGTGGTGTTTCAGGGCGACCAAGGCCAGAGAGGGATCCGGGGCCTGCACGGCCCCCCCGGCATCGCTGGGCCCTCAGGACCAAAGGTGAGGAGCTGTTAGCTTCATTAGCCATCATTATTTTTAATATTTGCATTGAGACCCTGTCCATGGCCTCTTGGAAGGGTATACATGTAAAGGAATGATGGCAGAAGAGAATTGACGATTTGCATTAATCTTCATCAGGGAGAACCAGGGGCGCAGGGCAGGGGGGGCTCAGCCGGGCCCCCAGGACGCTTCGTCTCTGGGCCAAAGGTAACACAACCTACTGCAGTGACAATAGAAACTGTGGAAGCTTCTAAGTGATTATATTTGTGATCGTTAAAACTCAGTTAAAATGTTTCAGGAGCTTTTTATATCTCATTCCCTCTTTTGGCCAGGATGGTCATTACCTCACCAAAATAACACTGGCATTAGTCATTCCTCTCTAGTTTAAGCAATTTAAAGGTGAAATATTAAAGCAGTTCCAAATAAATTTGAAAGACCTCTTGCCATCCACGCCAATTATTTATTTTTAATAGTGGTTTTCTTGTAAAAACACAGATAGATGTATGTGTGTATTAAATGTTTGGCACCCAAACGCATTATATGTGAGGCCAGGTAAACCTGCTTTTTTTGTTAGATGATCTTTTTCTTCTTCACTGAGTTTTGTTTACTGTCCGTAATAGTGTATCCTTGTGCGAGTGCACGATACAAACAAATCCATCATCAGCAAATATAGTGCGGCCAGACACCAAGTGCATAGCTCGTACCAACTTTAAATGTTTACAAAGTGATATTTATTCGGTCTTAAACAATCACGTGTTACTCTTGCTAAACTCCTGTCAAACCTCAACCTGCCCAGGTACAGTAACTGGAGCTCTCTAGATCATACAATGATGTAATTGAGAAAACGATCCAGTATTTGAATTCAATAAGAATGTGTAACGTCTGTTCCAGGGTGATGTTGGCCCGAGTGGTCCTCCTGGTCCGCTCGGTGAGACTGGCTACGGACTTCCTGGTCCAAAGGTAACACTCAGTGTAAACATCTGCTCGAAAACACAATGTGTTTGTTACTATGGGATGACCACAAACACTTGAAGCATGATGTCATAGCTAGACACTCTCCACATCTGGGGAACGATCAATTATAGCGTAAATGTAATCGCTGAGCAGCATCCAAGCAGAACAAAGGGGATGAGGTCCTGTCGTGCTGAACTCAATGTTAAAGCATACTTCGTAGATTTAACCTTTCCCTGTTTTGATGTATTGCACAACACGTACTCACTACACAGCAGCAGATAGCACATGTGCCCATTCACCTCCACATTCCTTCCTCTTCTTTGAACACGGATCTGTAAATCACTTTGTATCCTGGATGAATGAATGATTTGTTCTGCAGGGGGACCGTGGAGACTTTGGCCCTTCAGGTCCATTCGGCCCCAAAGGAGAGGGCTTCCCCGGCCCCTCGGTGAGGAGCTGAAACACACACTGACATTCCCATTTGTCCACTCATACATCTGTTCATCCATCACTCGTCACATTACATTAAGTCAGCTATACATCTGTCTTTTCCCTCCCTTAATCTACTTATCGGTTCCAGACATATATTCAAATGTATTACCAAAAGTTACGGTAGCTGACCCTCATGTACATTCTCCTTCATTTAGACCATAGAAAGCAGACACATGGGGCGAATACAAAGCACTGGAATGACTCACTGGGGAAGAGAGTTAAAGGGATACTTCAACATCTTGGGAATTAGGCATATTTATGTGTCACTATATTGCCAATGAGATTGATACCAAAAATGAAACCAACTGAATCTTATGAATGCAAGTTTCCTTGCAAAATTACTATTCCTTTAATCATGTCACCATCTCTCAAGGTGTCCGTGGAAATGCTAAAACTTCAAAGTAATCTTTCAATTTCGCATTTTGAATGTAAGTCTGTCTTAAGATTGTATTCTACCTCCATGTTATAGGGCCCTCCTGGTCTGCCTGGACTCACAGGAGAACCCGGACAGGAAGGAGTGGGCATCCCTGGACCAAAGGTGAGATAAAATGATGTTTGTAAAGTTAGTGCAAGTTTGGGACTAATGGGGAAAGTGTGATGTATTAGTGTTTATAAAACAAATGGTTCTTTAGGAGGACAATACGCAGTGTAATATATTGTGCTAATACTTTGGCTAAATGAACCTCTGCAGTGAAAAGCAATTGCCAAAGATCAATTTGAACGTTCTTGGAGTGAAAGTATCATCCCAGTGAAGGATGTGGTCATTTGTTTGAGAAAACTAATTAAAGGGAAATATTTCACACAGCACAGGAGTTAATTTGTTGATGGATTTTAAATTGCTGTGTTGTAAGTGTTACACATATCTTCACCGTGTTTTCTCTTCTGCAGGGGGATGTCGGTTACCGAGGGTTGCCAGGTTTGCCAGGACCTCTGGGCGAGGGCCTCCAAGGACCTCTGGTACCGCAGCAATTTCTACTTTTCAGATTTGACAGTTTTTTTTATTAAAATGATTTCCATTTCAACTTTACATCCAGCTTTTAAAACTCATAAAATACTGTTTGTATTCTGTTTCTGCTGAAGTGAGTCTAGGCCCACATTGCAGTGTGTTAACTTATGCAGAAAGCTGTGATTTTATTTGACGACCAACTGGGTCAATTGAGTCATATTCTCTGAAGGATTGCGTCTTTGCCGTAGAGTCGGAGAGTTCCAGATTGAAAAAGAACGTCCAAAGCACAGGGGTCTTATATATTCTACAGCTGACAGTTCATTTGTTCAGGGCATTTATCATGATTCTCCCGCAGCACTCTGACATATTAATGCAGAGCGTGAATCTCCACAGACATGTGTGTGTGATGAGAAGCAGGCCTAGTCAGCTGAAATCTGGGGAATCAGAACCATCACACAAATGAGTTCTACATTTGTTCAAGAAAGAGGAATTAGTGGTTACACATGTGTGATACATCGCTGGTGTGGCCTCTAACACGCTCAAACAAGTTCAAGTTGTATTTAGAAAGAAAGAAAATGTGCCTTTTATTAGAAAACAGCAAAAACTGGACTGTTGCCTGCATGCAACTAAAGCAAGCTCAAATGTCATTTGACGACAGATTAAAAATCTAAGTTAAAATGTTTGTTATACCTATTCTGAAACTAGCTGTTGCGACAATTTACTCTTTAGGTAAATGTGCACTGAGGCAATACATTAGGTGACATGCAGGGTCATTTTCTCATAGAAAGCTGGGGGAATGTTTCAGACACAGAGGTCGCAGCTTTGTTTGCATAATATGTGGTCGAATGTTAATAGAAATTGTATAAAATAAGGAAAATTGAATGAAGTCCATTCCAATATGACCCTCAATGTATCCTCTGTACTGCAGGGTAACGCTGGGCGGCCTGGCCCCTCAGGGCCGACAGGGCCACAAGGACAAGGAGTTCAGGGACCAAAGGTAAGCTATTGTTTATCCTTACAAATAGAAATCAATGTATTTCTCATGTTCATCTGAGGTCTCTAACTACCATGCACATAGAGAAGGTAACTCATGTGTTTGTTTCAGGGGGAGCAGGGGTCCCAGGGTGTGACAGGGACGAGGGGGTTGCCTGGAGAAGGCTTTTCTGGAGCTAAAGTGAGTCATTATGTGGTCCAGGAGCACTGATGTGGGTTTCTATGCACTTATATGTCCTGACTGCTGATATTATGCTTTCTAATGTGTGACAGGGTGACCGAGGCTCTGGAGGGGAGAGGGGGCTGAAGGGAATCAAAGGAGAGCTGGGAGACCCTGGAAACGCTGGGCAGCCTGTGAGTGACCCTCAATATCATCAATATGTCCATTTACTCTGATTGCTTTGACATAATTATGCTCTTAGCCTTTTGTCTCGTAAATGGAATTTAAAATGTGTGGAAACTCAGCAAATGTGAGAGTATTAGAACTACTTTTTGTCTCCTCTCAGGGCAGCTCTGGTGTCAAAGGTGAAGCCGGCCTCACTGTGAGTCTCTATTTTTTCTATGCTTTCTCCAGTAGCATAATGTTCGTACGTTTACGCCTCTTTGGGAGTATTGTACTTTTTGTGACAGTGTTAGTTAGATTAGATGAATTTTTGTCATACCCTTTCTTTCAACTGAAAACATTGCATGTTCAAATCAGATTTGTATGGTAAACTGAAGTAAGTGTTAATAATATTGCTATTCTTACAAAAGTAAAGGGTGAATGACTCGGTCGAACACTTATTTTTATTCCTACACTCAAACTGCATTGGTGTATTTGTTTCAGAGGGACGACATCATTCGGATGATCAAAGAGATCTGTGGTAAAGTCACTTATATTTCTCACTTCTCCATATTGACTAACCGCACAGATTACGTTTCTGAATCTAAGCCACTGTTTGATCTTATCTGTAAATCATTAGCTCCGATTCCACAGAGTAAACCCTTCCTCCATGATCTCATATGTTGATGTGCTTCCAGGATGTGGGATCAAGTGTAAGGAGAGGCCCATGGAGCTGGTGTTTGTCATTGACAGCTCAGAGAGCGTGGGCCCGGATAACTTTGAGATCATCAAGGACTTTGTGGCGGCGCTGGTGGACCGCGTCACGGTGGGCCGCAACGCCACCAGGATCGGCCTGGTGCTGTACAGCCTGGAGGTGAAGCTGGTGTTCAACCTGGCCCGCTACAACACCAAGCAGGACATCAAGCAGGCCATCAGGAACATCCCGTACATGGGAGAGGGCACTTACACCGGGACAGCCATCCGTAAAGCCACCCAGGACGCGTTCTACAGCTCCCGTGTGGGGGTCAGCAAAGTGGCCATCGTGATCACTGACGGGCAGACGGACAAGCGGGAGCCGGTGAAGCTGGATCTGGCCGTACGAGAAGCTCACGCCGCCAATATCGAGATGTTCGCTCTGGGGATTGTGAACACCTCAGACCCAACACAGGCCGAATTCATGAGAGAACTCAATCTGATCGCCTCGGACCCCGACACCGAGCACATGTTCCTCATCGACGACTTCAACACTCTGCCAGGTTAGAGAAGTGTGTCTTTGTCGGTGTGTCAGTGTTATGGCGCGTTTCCACTACAGCCCGCAGCCCGGTTTAAGAGGGCTGTGACGTCAGCGGCCCGTCTTTGGTTGCGTTTCCACTTGGCCTAGTACCGGCCGGCGGGTCCTAATTCACAGTTTTTCTGGCCTCATAAAATCGTGGGGCCAGGGCCAGAGGCAACGAGGCTGAGTCGGGCTGAGTATGCTAAACTAGAGAGAGCGTTGCTGGCAAGGGGGCAACAACTACAACAAGATGGACATATTTGACCGTGATTTAATTGTAATACACGTTTCAAAATGATGCCGAAGTAACAACATACTGATACCGGTTAGTAAAAACCATGAATTAATGCTTTGTCAAGTCTGCAGACAGACGGCAGGGGAAAAACCTTTTAAAATGCTTGTTTTCTAAATGGAGATTGGCTAAGCTAACGCAGTATATGCTCCGACCGTCCACACTCACAACAACGGCCTATACAGACATAAATAAAGCAGCGACTGTATTCGCCATGACACAGGCAGTCTGTGGTTTGTACTTGTTTAACTTTTGTCTAGTTTCTGAACATATATGAGGAGCTGTGAGCTCTGAGTGCTAACAGCTAACGGCTGTGTTGTTTTTCTGGGGTCCTGTGAAGATCACGTCACGGCTCCGCCTACACTGCGTTACTATAGATACTGCCCCAGTTCCTAAACTGTAATGGAAATGCGCCATAAAGTGAGCCAGTCCTAACGAGGCCCAGCCATACCGAGCGGGGCCGAGCGAGGCCGTGTAGTGGAAACGCGACATTATATTCCTCAATCTTTGAGGGATATGAGCTTAATACATTCAATGGTATTTGTGTAAAATGCCAGTGCCCAAATTCTAAAGATAGTTTTAATTATTTTATGAGATTTAAAGTGTGACGCAAATGTTCCCCTTGTGTTACTTAGAAATCTTGGATAGAATGTATAACCCAGGCTTAAAACCAGTTTCCTGTACCAAGAGATCATAGTGGCCCCATCCAATATTCTGAAAACAAATCAACGTGAACATCCTAGTGGTTCTAGAGAAAAAAGTCCTATGGGGAACAGGAATGTCTGTACACTATATATACTGGCAACCCATCCAATAGCTGTTGAGATGTTTTGATCTGGACTTAAATGGTGGACTTACCAACAGATCCCTCCCCAGAACCATGCTGCTAGTATATCCCAATAGGTGTAGAATCTGTCGAGACGACACTTCCTGTATCTCTGACCTCTCCTCTCTCTCTGTCTTTGTCTTAGCGCTGGAGTCCAAGTTGGTCAGCCAGTTCTGTGAGGACGAGAATGGAGCCCTGATATATAACAGAATAACAAATGGCTACAACGGCAATGGGAACAACGGATACAGGAACGGAAACAACGGGAAGTACGCCGTTGGAGGATATCCCTTCAGGCCTTCCACTGAGCAGCAGGTTCGTAACACCGGCACCAACACAGGGGTCCAGGTCGACTCCAAACAGCAGGGCGGCACAGGGTCCAGCACAGGGTCCAGCACAGGGTCCAGCAAAGGATCCAGCACAGGACATGTAAGGAACATACATCTATAATTATATTTAATTAACATTATGAAGCTGTTGACACCGGTTTTGTGCCTCTCAGGGAGGAGGAAGTCAGTATGTGTTGACTGGAAACGAGCGCGGGGACACATTTAACCGCAACACCTCAGAGGGAGAGGAATCCTCCAGTACGAGAGGCTCCTCCTCCTCCTCATCTTCTTCCTCAAGAACAACCATATCATCCTCGGGAGTATCCATAGAGCGCGTGAAGCCAGCTCTTCCCAAAGGTACAGATGCGTTTCCATAATCCTCTTAAACAGCCAGTGCACGCAGAGACATGACACACTAGCATACCTGTGCACAAAAGAGAGCGCTCGTCCAAAACAATTATTTGTAATTACAGAAAAACACTAGCAACAAATGAAAAGAGGTGAAGAAACTTCCTGTTGTTGACTTCTCCAGCAGCAGGAATACAATAAATCATGCCTTTAGCTTTAATTATAATCAAACAAGCGATGTGTTATAATCATAGCGTGCACATGAGTGTTTTTAACTGCATCATTGCTGGAACTCATTTCCAAGTGAGGAGAGATTCTCTTTGGCGTTCCTCTGAATCATTGGTTCAGATCACTTTGAGCTGCTGTTCAACATGCTCCTCCTGACACAGAGACTGAGATATAACTAATACCCAGACTTCAGGTAAGCTCATCTTTTGCACGAAGCATAAGGAATCATTTACCTTGAGTTCTGGGTCAATTAAATATGGGTCATACGTACACTTTTCAGTTACTCCCTGATAAATCATGCATTACTACAGAAACGCGCCATGACTAATGGAAAAGCCGTCAGTGTTTGTGCGATGGGCGTTATTTCTCTGCCCCACGGCGGTGTGTTTTAATATGTTCAGATTTATGAGCTCGTTTTATGAACCTCAAACTATAAGGCTACTGACGGCCCCTGGGAAGAAAACCACCAGGTACGATGAAAAAATGATACAAAAGATACTCGAGACAAGAAATATGAATGTTTAAAAATACAGGACAATAGTGTGTGTGTGTGTCTGGCTCATACTGTATGTAGGTGAGTGGGGGGGCATGTCTGTGCTTAATCTGCCCATGATGCATGTGGTAGCAGGGGACTCTGCGGTTATGATAAGTGCTTTCTGATTGACACTCGGTAATGAGGTCTACAGGTGAGGAGCAGAGAGGCCAATTATTTTTGATGCAGTGAGGATGATTTGCTAGACTCTGCTCGTCTTCCTGCAGAGAGCGTGCCGCTGGACCCTCACTGCGGCCTGGTTCTGGACCAGGGCACGTGTCGAGACTACAACATCCGCTGGTACTACGACAAGCAGGCCAACGCCTGCGCACAGTTCTGGTACGGAGGCTGCAACGGCAACAAGAACCGCTTTGACACGGAGGACGAGTGCAAGAGGACGTGTGTGATCATCGCCTGATATCTGGTGACTCATCCCTTCAATGTTAACATGTCACTCACACCTAGCCTGTCATACAGAGAAATTGACACAATTTCCTCAGCTGAAATGAGGACATAAGAATGTTATTGGTTCAAAAGTACTGACTTTTATGGGGTTTTTTTCAGGATGCTGAGTGAAGGCATCTGTCAAACATCTGCTGTAGGAGAGGCAGCTAACATCAGCTATTTTTCATAGGGTTGTGTAGTTTCTGCATAATCCTCCGGCATTTACATTTACACTGATGTTCTATATCCCTGTTACAATTATGTCTGTCCTGTTTAACTCATTGTAAAATCATCTTCCTGTAATTATAGTGAAAGAGATCCCATTTTGACAGATACCTCCGTTGTTTTTTATCTCAGCATCTAACTCAGGAGATAGTCCAGCGCTCCTACTCAGGAATACAGATGAGCTTCACTGTGTGCGTTCTTTTTCCAGGGATCCCCACACCTCTCGGACACGATCACGTTTGTGAGAGCTGCAAAGATTGTGAAAAAAATGACTGACCAGTAAATCCTCTGGTACCTTGTCAGGGTCAGAATCAGAAATCAATGTGCCACAATAGTGTAGTGTAGCCGTTCATTTTTTTACTCCAAAATATAAATGTATGTCCTTTTTTAGTGCATCATCGCAAGAGCCAATAACACACAAATGAAGCCTCTCATTACTTATATCAATAACATGTATGTTGTCCTTATATATAAATGACTGATGCTCTGTAACTTCATGGAATAACTGCATTTGAATGTGTTTTGTTTGTTGAATTAAAATGTGATTTTTTTTTTAATGTTTTTTTTCTTATTACTGCTTATATTTGCAGTAAACTGATGGACGGACTCACATACACACACACACACACACACACACACACACACACACACACACACACACACACACACACACACACACACACTGCCCTCTACTGGGTAACACATGCTCATGTCACTGAAGTGTTACCACAGTACAACATACTATGACTGTACTTCCATTGTTGGTTTGTCACTATATTACCCATCTGTACTGTATACATCCATATTGTACTGTTACATGTTCAACATTTGATGTCAAACATTCTAAATAAATCTGATCCAAACTAATACAGTATGTGCAAAAGCTCACATTCATATTAAGGGACCGTATGAACATTATTTTTAAATACATTTAACATGATAACAGTTATATACAAAGTAAGACTGTATTATGATCCAAGTGTATTCCAATTGTTTTACTATTCTGTTTATTGATACGAGACATGTTGATTGTGGCTGTTCAATGTTTGATATTTTTTATAATCCGATCAGTTCTGTGCATGCATTTTCAGTTCATGGACAATTTCGCGACTAGCCAAATTGTAACCAACCAAGACCCTGAATGTAAGTATATTATTATTCCGGTTAAACTAAAATGGAGTGTTTGGAATGAGATCTTACCATTATCGTATTCATCTTAAATGTCCAACCAAGGACGGGAAATCATTGTTTACCCAGCTACAATGACACATTACATTACACCAATGCAGGAAATCGCATTAAATCACAGCCATTTTACAATGAATCCAACACTAACAGCATATTGCAGAAAGGTTTACATTAATGCAGTAGAACACATAGATAATGGTGGACACAATGAATTTGGCAGCCAAGAGGTGAAATATGTCTTCATCAGCAACATAGGGTTCACCCCGATCATTTACATACAGTCTCTAAATATTTTACAAAAATCAATAGAAAACGTTTCTTTACCCATCAGACAATCTGCTCTCCCCTTCTGCTTGAATCACCCGTTAGACACTCCTTGACAAGTGGCGTAGTCTGATCTATCTTTAGTGCTGCCCACGGGAGAAATGTTACCTAACTCTACACACTCCTCACACTTTATCAGGCCACAGAAACAAGACTCAACAATAGAAGATCCCATTGATCCAGACGCATCAGTGATTGCCTTTTTACCATTTTGTTCTCAAATGTATGTCTGTAAGCAAATTGACACCATTTATTTGTAATAGTAAATATTTTCAGCACTCGCATGATTGATTGAGGTTTGTTTTAAAAGGTTTAACTGCAGAGCAACACACACACAGTCACAGAGAAACACACACACACACACACACACACACACACACAGTCACAGAGAAACACACACACACACACACACACAACCAAACAGCTGGAATCTCCACAGGGAAAAGGAAGATTCATGCTGATTGGTGGACAGAACTGCGTGTGTGTGCGTGTGTGTGTGTGTGTGTGGCTCTCACCTGTTTTTGCACACAGCTGCTACACACAAACTTTACTGGTCCATTTTTAGCACAATGTTTTTGTGCTCTTCAATCTCACTTAAATAATGCCATGCTGTGCAAAGATAAGAAAAAACTAGAGTGGATTTTGTTTTGACTTTGTTTGTCTCTTTCAGGAAATGTAGCAAATGATTCAGCGAAGGAACAAACTGTGAAGTGCTAGAAGAAAGTATGAAATGAAAAATAAATGGTAAGAAATAAGATATTATAGAGGTAAAAGCAAACAACATTTCAACATGACTTTAAAAATTACACGATTTGTTGACTTTAAGTGTCGAAAAACATAATTTAGCAACCATTTAGATCACGCTTCGGCCTTTTTTAAAGAAAAATACCCAATTTGCTGATTCAAATGTGGTATCTGCTGCTTTTCTTTGTTAGGACTGTAAATGGAAAGTTTGGGGGATTTTAAATGTTGGTTGATAAAACAAGATGGTAAATTAGGCTTTGAAAATGTTTTAAGTAAAGTACTTAATAAAAGGAATGGTTGTAATTGTATCAGTGACAGTAATAGGGACGTACTTATGGATACTAACTGTCTTGGTTGCTTAGTCCCGGTATATGAATTGCAAAGTAAAGACTAAATCAGTTGATTTAAATGAAAGGATGATCTCATGATTCATATACTTTTGAAAGTGACAGCGTCTGCTCTAAACAACCTCTCGGTCATATGTGCAGCTTGTGGCGAGCTATTCAAGGGTTTTGACAGCATTGTTTCTACTGTTAGTCGGCCATATGACACTTTGGGAGCTGAATCATGATGGCAGATCCCCAGCCCGAGCAGCCAGTTGCTTCTTTCAGTCTGTGACAGCAGCTGCTCGAGCCGAGGCCTGTAGTGCGCCGTGATTTAGCCCAGTCAGATTCCACTAAAGCTGAAGGAGGCAGAGGGAGCTATATTTAGAGGGGGACGGGATTGAATTGCAGGGTCTTCACTCGGAGACCCTTTTCTCTGCTCTGCCTTTTCCAGCCAGGACCGACTGCCAAAAGGACCTGTGGCCGCCGTCTGCTTCCTCTCTCCACAGACCCCCCAGTGACACACCATGGACCCCAACGCCATCAAGGAAGAGCTGCGCCTGTTTCAGAGCACCCTGCTTCAGGATGGGCTGAAGGAGCTGCTTAACGAGAACAAGTTTGTGGACTGCACCCTGAAGGTAGGCGACAGAAGCTTCCCCTGCCATCGGCTCATCATGGCCGCCTGCAGCCCGTACTTCAGGGATATCTTCTTCACAGAGGATGGGAAGGAGGTGGAGAACACCAAGGAGGTAGTCCTGGAGGAAGTCAATCCTTCCATCCTGGATATGGTCATTCAGTACCTCTACTCAGCCGAGATTGACCTCACCGATGACAATGTCCAGGATATAATTGCTGTGGCCAACAGATTCCAGATCCCTTCTGTCTTTACAGTCTGTGTAAACTACCTTCTCAAGAAGTTGTCTCTGGGAAACTGCTTGGCGATCTTCAGGATGGGCCTGGTGATCAGCTGTCCGAGACTCGCTGTGGCCGCACGCAACTACGTCGCAGACCGCTTCGAACTCCTTTACAACGAAGATGAGTTCCTCAAGCTTGCGGCCCACGAACTGTTCGCAGTCATCGGTGGAGACTCATTGAATGTGGCGAAGGAGGAGCTGGTGTTTGAGGCGGTCATGGCATGGGTACGTTATGACAAAGAGCGAGTCAAGGTCCTGAAGGATGCTTTCAACTGCATCCGCTTCCGCCTGCTGCCGGAGAAGTACTTCCAAGACAAAGTAGAGTCCGATGATATCATCAAGGCGGACCCGGAGCTCCAGAAGACGCTCCAGGTCATCAGCGATGCCTTCAAGGGAAAACTTCCAGAGACACCCACGAAGAAGGAGGGGGAGGAAGGTGCTGGCGTGGAAGGAGAGGAGGAGGCGGAGGAAAGCCCCTTCCCAGGTTTCCTGAATGACAACCGAAGACAAGGCATGTACAGACGCGAATTCATCGTCATGATTAATGATACCGCATCGGTGGCGTATGATGTCAATGAGAACGAGTGCTTCCTGGCGGCCATGTCGGAGCAGGTGCCACGTAACCACGTCAGCCTGGCGTCACAGAAGAACCAGCTCTACGTCATTGGAGGAGTGTTTGTGGATGAACAAAACAAAGATCTACCCCTCCAATGTTACTTTTTCATGGTAACCAGGCTTTTCTTTCATTTGATACTAAAAAAAAAATTAGGAAATATTTTGACACTTTGGGAAATATTCGTATTCACTTTCTTTCAGATGGGAAAACACTACTGTCTTATCTAGAGTTAAAATAATATGAAGCTTGTAGACCGCTTGCTTAGCTAACCAAAAGTACTGGTAGCAGAGAGCAACAGCTAGCATGTCATGGCTCCGTCAGTTTTAAACATTTTATTTATCAAACGGATATATAATCAGGATAAAAGTAAATGAATATGCTACAACTGTAAGTCTGCTCTAAGAAATAATTGTGTTTAACTTTATTTAGAGGCAGGCTAGCTATTTCCTCCTGCCACCAGTCTTTGAGCTAATCTAAGCTAACCACCTGCTGGCTATATTTACTATTTATTGTAAAGACATGATGGTGGTATAAATATTCTCTTCAAACTCTTGGCAAGAAATCAAATTCTTAAAATGACCATGTCCAACTAATCTTGATAAAACACAGTTTGTAGTTTCTTAGAAGATTGTGAGTTTTCACGAAAACAATAACTGTAGCGTTAGCTCACAAACAGTCCTACTTAACCATCTAAAACTGCTTCGCCTTTTAAATGACCCTTAGAATGACTGGGATAGTTACATCTTCTGAAAACAATAGATGTATCTTGTTGCTCATCAGGCCTAACTGACACAGATACTGATCAAGGCTTTAATACATACATTTGAAAGCATATTCGATACACTACAGTATGATGATTCATTCCTGTCTTCACCAGGACACGTAGACACAGACAATGGGTGCTAAGAGGTTATTTGAATGTATTTCCACAGTTGGATCCCCTCATCTCTGAATGGGTCGCCCTGCCGCCCATGCCTTCTCCAAGATGCCTCTTCAACATCGGAGAGAGCGACAACCTGCTGTTCGCCGTGGCAGGAAAAGACCTCCAGAGCAACGAGTCGCTGGACTCTGTCATGTGCTTCGATATTGAGTTAGTTCTGAAGCATTGTTTGCTTTTTTCTCTATTTCTCACCCTGCCTTTCACTTTCTTGAGTTTTAAGGTGTTAATTAACTTCAGGAAAGTTAACAATATTTAAAAATATACATATGGTGTTCATTTATTTTTAAATCGTGTTTTGTTGTGATCTCCCTTGCTTAATTGGTTCCTTCAATAATCTTAGTGCTTTTTTTTCTTGAAGTTTAACTATTTTTTGAACTTTTAATCTTTATCACAAAAATAGATTTATTTGGCTATGTTAAAAACACCCATGTGACAATTAAGCATTTCGTATTACGAGCAGCATAATATCAATGCACAACTAAATTGTAAAAGTGTAACTTTAAATATGAATTTTTCAGGAAGATGAAGTGGAGTGAGACCAAAAAGCTTCCTCTGAAGATCCACGGCCATGCTGTCATCTCCCACAAAGGACTGGTCTACTGCATTGGTGGAAAGACTGACGACAAGTGAGTGTATATGTGTGTGTGTGGGTGTCTGTGCGTGTGACCTTACTCTGTGAGCCGCAGCTGTTTGTGGTCCATCATACTGCCAGACTGCAGGGCTGCATGGTACTTCATTCATAGACAGCAATTAGCCTGCTACAGTGTAATCTATGTGAAATATTACCATAATAGAAAATAATGATCGTGTTGTTGATTAATGCAGTGATATTAAAGGCTCTGCAGAACCACCGAACACAACATGTCTGTAATCTTAGCTGTTTCCATTACGCTCAGCAGTGATACATGAACAGCAAACAAGTAAGGCTTAGGATTTAACACTGTATCTAATAAGAAGCTAGTGTGCATGTCTGAAGAAAACACCTTAAATAAAAGAAACTCCAAATATACATAGGTAGACACTTAAATATACCAACATATAAAGTAAATACATTCATAAATTCCCATCAGCAGGAAAAAGCAAGCATAGAAGTAATGTAATAGTGAACAACCGTATCCTGTCTGAGGTTGTTCGCTCCAGTTTTCATTTCAATCTTGACCTTTTCCAAATTTACATAATTGTGGGCATTCCAAAAAAAGACCACCCCCAATCTTTCTACAGCAAAGGGCACTTTATTTCTTACTACGAAATGATGATTAAATAGTTTTGGTATTTTATCCTTTTATGAGAACCAAATTGTCTCAAGCTGGGACAACATACATATATTCAGAAAAAAGGTGAAATAAAATCACATTAACAAAGAATGTATTTTAAATAAACCTTATTTCCTACTTTTTCTCCACAGCAAAGCCCTGAGCAAGGTGTTTGTGTACAACCACAAGCAGGCAGAGTGGAGGGAGATGGCGTCCATGACGACCCCCAGAGCCATGTTCGGGTCCGTCGTCCACAACAACCAGATCCTGGTGGCTGGGGGGGTCAACGAGGAGGGGCTCATCGCTTCATGTGAAGCCTACGACTTTGCAGCAAACAAGTACGATTCGGGTTGAAATTGGTCTTAGTTGAGGAATTGTGTTGAAAATCATATACATTTTCCTCAGACTAATTTCTCTCAGAGCCAACACATACTATGGAGCCTCAAAGTTACAAAATACACATATGTATATAAATATAGGAATAGGTTTTGTTATGTAAATGCAACATTTTAACTTATGATTAAATGCCATTGTTGAGTAATAAACCCTTTAGCTTGCTAGCTAGGTTGGTACAGGTGCAGTCAATTGATGTAAATAAAAAAGTTCACTAGGATTACCTTTGACATTAGCCTCTACTAGGTGGATTCCCAATGATTTTTGACATTGTTGATAGCTACCAGGAGCTAACTAATTATTTAAGTAACATCTTTTGGTAGCAATATTTGAGCTCGCTAGCTAAAGAATAGCAGAGGGGACTTAATTATCTAAGAATCATTATCTGTCATTTTAACCACAAATTGACATGAAGGGAAACACCACTATCAAATCAAGACATCTATATTTATTTTCCATCATCTATTTAAGAATGTCTTGTTTATTTATTTAATATGTTGCTTTTCTGGCTCCCAAATACGACACCTTACCTTATCTCAGCCACACAAAGATTGTTCCGTGGCACAGCTCCATCTCACACCTGACCTTCTCCTCGTGTTGCTTCTCCTCAGGTGGGAGCCCTACACTGAGTTCCCCCAGGAGAGGAGCTCTGTCAACCTGCTGAGTAACGGCGGCTCGCTGTACGCTGTGGGCGGCTTCGCCATGGTTCAGAACGAGGACAAGGAGGTGGCTCCCACTGAGGTCACTGACGTCTGGCAGTAAGTCTTCTCAAGTTATGGGACCAGAGTTGACATGTTTTTCTTGGTTGCACCTGGAGATCTGACTGTGTTGTCTTGTTAGGTATGAGGAGGATAAGAAGCAGTGGAGCGGGATGCTGAGGGAGATGCGCTACGCTGCCGGCTCCTCCTGTGTGTCCATGAGCCTCAACGCTGCCAGGATGCCCAAACTGTAGACAGAAGCACTTTCTTTCTTCCTGACCCCCGCCTCATCCCCCCGCGCTGCCTCCGAGTCGTCTCATCCTCTGCACTCACATTTCTGTGTCGAGTTGACCTTTGACATTCATTTTTCTTTACTATAAACACTCAGTTTCTCTTGAAAGACTGCACTATCCCCACAGTATTAAACAAAAAAAGACATCATAATTAAGATTGATCTATAGAACTCTGTTTACACCATTTCTAGCATTTCTTTTGTAAAATAAACATTTGTAAACGTCTGCTTCTTTTTCTGATTCGGTGTGATCTACAGAGAAGGGACACGTCGAAGGAGCGAGAGAAGATGTATATTTGTAGCTTCTTTGTAGTGTCAGGTAAACGGAGAAGTGGAACTGGGTTAATAGCAGGTGAAGTGTTGACATTTAAACACTACAAAATAATCTTCAAACATGTCACACCTTCATTTGTGTCAGCATGTCCATGAGTTTCTTCACTGCATGTTCGAGAAATGGAACCATCAAACGTGAGTGGAGAAGTTAAAGTATGTCTCCACAGTTTCTCCTCACACTGACCTTTAATACATTCACTCTGACTCATTGTCATAGCGTTGATTCAACACTTACATTACCAGGTGGTGGCACAGGAGGTTGAAGGATTTCTCACCACATTTAGACAATCATTGTTCACAAATATTTTTACAACTGAAAATCGAACTGTGCTGGTCTATGTTTGAAACTCGATCAAGAGATTTGAAATAGCTGAAATACAGTTAATGAAATAAAATTAAGTGGGACTTAAAATGGAGAGGCTGCTGTTTATAAGGTAGCCTAACGTTCAATTGGCAACAATAAGCAAACAAAGGCATGTGAGGCTAGTTGGCAGTAGTTAGAAGTTAGAGTGTCTTTCTCTCAAGTCCACTGTCAATACACATTAACAGGAGAGCCTCTCATCAATATTTGATTTTCATCCACCTTTTAGCTTGTTGTTTTGGTCCAGTCTGCCGATCCCAGCCAGGTCAGTGGCATTCAAAATCTAAGACAAAAAAGTTGCCAATATAGTTCTTATTGGCCCTGGTGCGAAATATTTTCTCTGGCCCTTGCAGCTTTTTTGTTTATACTTGCTAAACAAACCAGGGTAAAACTTATTCCACTTTGCAAGAGAACAATGTATTGTTGTTGAACTTTCAGAATATATGACTTTATTCAACATGTAGACTTTATGCTCAAAATGCGAAAAGCTATTTATTATACAGATGACACTGTCATTTCATTTATTTCCCACGTCTTGCTAAACTTCCTCATTACTTTTATCCTAAATCAAGGTCTGTCTGTGACAAATGTTGCCCTTCTTAAAGGCGTTGACATGCCTTTAAGAAGTAATAACTCTTCTAAAGAAACTCCTGAGGTTACTCACTGGAGAGTTCAATTCATCTGTGTTGTCGGACTTGTTTTCCCGTTATTCTAAGCAATTTCCCCTGAAACCTGATCTGTGTAAATACAGCGACCCTTGAGCTCTGTCAGCTCAAGCATGCAACCAGGAAACCAGTGCACATGGCTCAAGGTGAAGCACACAACAGTGGGCTCAAAACTAAACCCTGCTGGAGTTCCCCGTGTGAAGAAGGGTTGAAGGGAAGTGGAGCGACGGAGGGATGGGTGAGAAAACATAATACACTGAAGGCTTGGAGTGAGCACTGATGTAGACACTGGAACTAGAAGTGAGTAGAAATATCAGTTTTTCAACCTTTATCACTCAGCATTTCTGTATGGATAAAACTCACTTTATAGAAGTTGTATTTTTTCACAAAGTGTAGTACAAGTATTGCCTTGTGAAATCTGAGTGTATATGCCATGTGTAAATAACACCAGGCACGTGTCCTCAGTTCTATAATGAGAGCAGATTGAATTTACTGCATTACAGAAAGCTTGCCACAGGCTCCATCAAATCCATAGCGGCTATCAGAAGCAGACTGTTTGCAGAGGAAGGAAGAAGCTGTTGTTTGCTTCTTTCCCGCTGGGTTTACTTGATTATTTGTTTCTTTCCTAGTCTGCTCGCCTCTGGGTTTCTGTGCCTGTGACTTCCAGTGGTAATTACCAATGAGTATCTGACAGCTGAGGGAAAGGGAATGAGGATGTGTTCGCTGCCGTTGTTTTTTGTCCTCCAACAACATATAATGTATGACTCAGCCAATTGGAATCGGAAAAAACAGATAATCTTCATGCTGGAAACATCTATTACAAATGGACAAAACATTTATCATTTGTTCAGCATTTTTATACATATACTCATTGAATCAAAGTATTGTTATTTGCAGTATTGACTCATAATGATGAACCCAGCCAACTTCTAGAAGCTTTGCAGAGCATTTTAGTATTCATTTGAACTAAATTTGCCAAATTTGTGAAAAGCAGATCAAAGAAGTTGAGCATTAAGCAGGTCCCAGTTTTTTTTACCATATGAATTTTAACAGGGGATTTGTTAGTTGATTATGAGATTAATCAACAACATTTCTGATCTCATGTATCAAGCATATTTTTGTACCAAAGAACAAGTAACACTAGAGGGGCACTTGAAGTGCGCAGAGTCGACCTTCACCAAGGCCCTTTTCTTAAGGTCTAAATATTTCAAATATTCGTGAAATTGTTCTGATCCGCTCCAAAATCAAAGGGACATCGTGGTTCCCTTTTGGCCCATGCCAAAATGTAATGAACATTTTTGAAAAATGTTGCTGTGTTTTTGTAGAAAAAATCGAATAATTTTTATAATTGTAACGTGGTTTGTAAAATATTTTCAGGCAACAGAAGTCAGCAATGGCAGCCAGCATCCTCGACTACGAAGAACATCTCAACTGCACTGATGTCGACCAACGGATGAAGCGCTACTACCTGCCTGTCTGCTACAGCGTCATCTTTGTGGTGGGCCTGGTGGGCAACATCACTGCCATTAGCATCTACCTGACGAAGCTGCGCCCCTGGAAGAGCAGCAGCATCATCATGGTCAACCTGGCGCTGACGGACCTCCTCTACGTGCTCAGTCTGCCCTTCCTGGTCTACTACTACAGCAACGGGGAATCGTGGACCCTCGGTGACTTCATGTGCCGCTTTGTGCGCTTTGGTTTTCATTTCAACCTGTACGGGAGCATCCTCTTCCTGACGTGTCTCGCAGTTTTCCGTTACGTGGTGGTGATTCAGCCTCTGAGGGCCGCTGAGGTGCAGCAGAAGGTTTGGGGAATAGTTGCGTGCACAGCCGTCTGGATCATCACTGCTGCCGAAGTCACACCAATGTTGACGATGATATCCTTGGATAAACGCAACAACAAGACCTACTGCTTGGACTTTGCTAGCGCCAAACATATCCACCTGCGCTGGTACGGCTGGCTGCTCACTGCAATCGGATTTCTACTCCCCCTTGTGGTAGTATCCATGTGTTACATCGGTATCGTGAAGCAATTAGCGAAAGGGCTCTCCACGTCCAGTCCGTTCAGGAAGCGCGCGCGGTGCGTGACCGTGTTGATCCTGGTGGTGTTTGTGGTGTGTTTCCTGCCATATCACATCCTGCGTGTTTTGCGGATAGAAACTAGAACGACGTCATGCACGGTGGAGCGCATCGTGCATGCAGTGTATATTATCTCCAGGCCTCTGGCTGGTGTCAACACGTTTTCTAACCTGGCTCTGTACACTCTGTCAGGGGATAAGTTCAGGAGGGCCTTCATCAGCACTTTTTACCCTGAAAACTGTCTGACAAAGGCTAGGTCAGTGCTCCACCTGGCCATCATCAGCAAGGCAGGCCCTGACATGCCGGCTGACCACGCCAACGCCAGAATGACTTCCATCTTTTTTGTGGAATTATTTTAAGCCTTCCGAGTCAGACACAATGTCGGGAAAGCTGCATGATCTCCATTGTGTGCTTCCCACAGACAAGAAATAGTTGTATATGCCAACGCCTGAAATGTAAATAAAACTGTTTTAAAATTAAAGCTGTTAGAAGTGCATGTAAAGTGTCAGTATAATTTACCTGAGAAATGATGTCATAGATTAGTTTGTTCATACAACCAGGAAGTGAGTTAGCATTCCTGGGCTGTGGTTTCCTTTGTCAGCTGTAATCACGATAATAATTTATATATAGATTTTTACATTAAACCTATGTTTCTCAACCATAAACATAAAGCTTTTTTACAATAAGTTGCATGTAAATCACTATTCAATTGTTTTACTTAAGTTGAGTGGTGGAGCCAGGTAGATTTGTAGCTATAGCTCTTTTTAGTCTAGCGTTAGCTTGACATTATCTTTGCCTGGTTCAAAAATCATAAAAAAGTAAAATGTGTAAGATAATAGATTATATTGTCTATATGTATTTGTTGTTTAGATAAATTTATTAAAACGTTTTTCATTGGCAAAAGATCATTTAAATGTGATTCTTCAACTTGTTTCTTGAGAGGTCTATTCTTCCGTGTTAATGATTGAACTTGTTTTTCTTTTGTTGCCTCAGTGCCCAACACTTTTGATGAAGATACTAACAATCCACATGCTTTGCTGTTTGTCTCCCTAAAGGTGTGTTAAATGATTTTACAGCCCGACAACGCTTCCTGCAGCTACTGATCTGTGAAGGACTCGGAGGTTGTGAGCACTTAGCTGAATTCTCCTTGCAGAAGCATTCACCTTCCCCGTTAGCTAAACATGTTCTGCTCTATGCTGCTGGACAGAGAACACTGCAGTGTTCTCTGTCTTCTACGGTCATCACTCCATGCAAGCTTTGGCTCTCCTTCTTTAATGTGTCCATTATTACCCACATAACAAAAAGCTATTTTTATAACCGTTATTTCTAAATGTAATCTGGTTCCTGTTCTAGGTTGGCTTGGAGCAAGGCAGTTATTTAATTCCAAAAGCTTTTATTAAACAAGAAGAAAGACCAGAGTAGAGATGGGGTCGTTACTAAAAAAAAGTAATATATTACATATTACATATTACTTTAAAAAAAAGTAATATATTACACTACTTCGTTACTCTCTACATAAAGTAACTCGTTACTTTACTCGTTACTTTACTCGCAGAGCCGGCCCGCCCCTCCCTACAGGCAGATCACGCAGACTGCTAAAGTTTCAAATGTTCTCTTTAGTTCAGTTTCCATTGTCGCATAAGACTGATCCAGATAGCTCTGACCATGGCTGTCCTCTGTCTCCTGCTATCTGTATTTTGCGCAGTATATCTCTGAACGATGCGATGGTGATTCCACTGTGCAAATGGGCAACATTTTCTCTACTATGAAGGATGCTACAAGCCTGTCCATCTCTGCTTTGGTTACCGGTCCTCCAAATTCTAATGTGTGCTGCTTCGGAGTCGGCGGCGGCGCACTCACAACATCCTCACTCTGGGTTCGGGGGTCCTTAGCTATTAGCTTCACCTTAGCATGTGTTCTTTGCAGGTGTTTGTTGAGGTTTGACGTGGTGTTTACAGCAGTGGATAACAGCTTCTGGCCTGGACACAGTTTGCACCTCACCGTCACATTCCTGTCTATTCTTCGGACGAACTCAAAATAATGGGCATACCTCCACCCCTCGAAAGTTATCGCTGACTCAGCCATGTTTATGCAGCACTGCACGTGGAGATGTGGACGCGCAACTCGCGCAGATTACGTACATATAAACCTGCGGCGGAAACCCCTCTTGTCTGTCAGTGTGATTATGACTGATTTTATAAAAGTAACAAAGTAACGCGTGTCGGGGCAATGTTAGTAACTGTAGAGTGATTACTGAATTATAAAAGTAACGCGTTACACTACTCCGTTACCGACAAAAGTAATATTATTACAGTAACGCGTTACACCCAACTCTGAGTAACACACACAATGGCAACCAAGGACTTTTTTCAGTTCAGGTCTGCTGCTTAGCATGTACGGGGTTCGAGACTCGGAGTAGTTGAGTTAGTCATAGTAGATGAGGCAGGTAGTTCATAGTGAGGCAGGTAGTGCACATTTTAAACTCCACTACGATTCCCCCTAACCTCAACTTTAGGTTATCTTTCAGGTCCAAAAACCCAAATGAACAACACATAAGCTCTACGAAACAATAATGTCTCAGGTCAAATAAGAGGTGCTTGATATTGTATATTTTAAGGTCCAAACCTGAGGTGAAAATCACAGATAGGCCAGGGAACATCTAACTGAGTCAGGTCGAATGGCTCACCGTGATAAGAACCCGTCTTGGAGACCAGAGTACGTGAGTTCAAACCTCGTGTGGTCCACTGAGTTTAAAGATCCCAGGAGTTTGAGTCTTGTGCCATGCAGAGTTTTAATGTGTCTTTCCCTTGATGAAGAAGTCAAATACAAGTAAAAGCAGACAACTGTCATCAGGTCTGATAGCTCAAGGAGATAGAAGGGTGGTTGGTAGGCCAGAGGTTGCAGGTTCGAGCCTTATACGTTGCAGAGAGTAGATAAGGATAAGGATAAAGGGGTAATGAATACGTTAATAGGATGCTAATTAAGGGAATAGAAGAAAGGAGGATTAGGAAGTAAGAGGGTAGTGAATAGGATACTATCTTAGGAACTGGAAATGAACAAAGGAGACAAATGTATTTTAAGAAACTTTTTTTTTAATTCACATTTATTCATACAATTCATACATAGCAGTGTCGCCTTTTCCCCAAGTCTGCTAAATGTCCCCAAGTCTGCTAAGTCTGCTAAACGTCCCCAAGTCTGCTAAGCGGCCGATAGGTGGCTGCCGGCTCTCACTGCACTCCTGGCAGTGAGACTGGCCCTGCAGCCACTGCCGATAGTCTGCTAAGTCTATAGGCCTGCTAAGTCTGCTAAGTCTGCTAAGTCTGCTAAGTCTGCTAAGTCGGGGGGCTGATGTTGCTGGGGGGGGGGCGCTCGGCACCCCAGCCACCGCCCCAAGTCGGCTAAGTCTGTTAAGTCTGCTATACGTCCCAAAGGCTGCTAAGTCTGCTATACTTCCCCAAGGCTGAAAACGTCCACAAGTTTTTCAGAAGCATAGGCAGCCGGGGTCTTAATTGATGGGGGGGGGGGGTCCTCTCTTCACTCTCTGTGGGAAGAGAAGAAGAAAAAGACACCATGAAGTCAGTATAGCTAACCCTAACCCATGAAAACATCGTATTTTATGTGGAAATAAGGCACGGTTTAGTGTGTAGAAACAAGGCGTAGTATAGTATGTCGATAACGATGACAGAAAAGTAATAATATAGCATTTCTAAAAAATTAGAAAAATTAAAAACGACATGTCGATTTTTTTTGAAAAAAATTAAATAAAATAATTTTATGTCATGATAAGGCACGGTATAGTGTGTGGATACCAGGCGTGGTATTTTATTTCGTAAAAAATGACAGAAAAGTCATAATATAGCATGTTGAAAAAAAGTCATAACCCTAACCCTAACCAATGTCGGAGAAAACATCGTATTTGATGTGGAAATAAGGCACGGTTTAGTGCGTAGACACAAGGTGTAGTATAGTATGTCGATAACGATGACCGAAAAGTCATAATATAGCATGTATAGCAAGTCATAACCCTAACCCTAACCAATGCCGGAAAAATGCAAAAAGAAAACATGGTACAGTATGTCGAAAATATCATAAATAGTCATAGTATAGTACCGTAAGTTCTTCAGAAACTCCAGAAGCCACCGTCTTCATTGATGTCAGATGAATGTCCTTGCAGTCCTGTGGGGAGAAAAGAAGAAAAAGACACCATGAAGTCAGTATAGTAGATTGAAAATGTCAGTAAAAACTACACAGTATAGAAGTTTTAGAAAAAAAACTATTAATATATTAGGGTGAAAAATGTGAATAAAAAATGAAAAAGTATAATATAGTAATATCAGAAGACATTTTGAAAAAAACGACATAGTATAGTATGTCTAAAATATCATAAAAGTCATAGTATAGTACCGTAAGTTCTTTAAAAACTCAAGAAGCCACCGTCTTCGTTGATGTCAGATGATTGTCCTCGCAGTCCTGTGGGGAGAGAAAAGAAGAAAAAGACACCATGAAGTCAGTATAGTATGTCTAAAATATCAGAAGAAATGACATAGTATAGTATGTCTAAAATATCAAAAATGGTCATAGTATAGTATGTCTAAAATATCAGAAATGGTCATAGTATAGTACCGTAAGTTCTTCAGAAACTCCAGAAGCCACCGTCTTCATTGATGTCAGATGTACTTGCACTCGGTGTTCCGGGAAAAGAAGAAAAAGACACCATGAAGTCAGTATACAATGTCGAAAATATCAGAAGAAATGACACAGGCTGCGTTTCACTTCTCTTATTTTTCATTTCCTCGCTCCTCGCTCCTCGGTCTCACCGGAAGTTGATTTGTCTGCGCCATCTTGAGTAGCGTCCCAATGGCCTTATTTTTGCCGGAGGAGCGAGGAGCGATAATGGAGGAGCTATAATCGAGGAACCACCAGACCATCCTTCGATGAAATCCTCAGAGACTCGCCCCGCCCCCTTACTGTGTATCGCTCACTGATTGGACGATGCAGCGCATGCAATGATCTGATGCTTCTTGACATGAGAGCAGTTTCCCAGCGGAGTGAAGAAAACACATGAAACTCACGGGACTCACTCCTCAGTTTATACCGTGTTTTGTTTCAATTAATGTATCATTTAGTTACAAATATGTGATATATCTGAACAACAAAGTGGACAAAAATAATTTTATTCATTTATTGGAAACATTTTCATGATCGCTTTTTTCGTTTTACATTTTCATTTATTGTCATTTCCATTCAGTCAGTCATTAAGTGCTATTTAAAATGTTAATTTGCTACATATCCACACAAACAAATTAAGTGTGCAATCCAATGCAATGAATGTTAATCTAACTGGGTTTTGATAGATAACATTATCTCTTTTTCTTCTCTCAATTATTTTATTTCTATTGTGCACTCTAATCAATATTAATCAAACTAATGTTCGTTTATACATTTTAAGAATGGCGTTTATCTTTTTTGAGAATGAGTTCTTATTTTATTTTATTTATTTGGGTCTACAACAGATGATACAATGTTTGTGTCAGTAAATGTGTACTAACAGAGGCGGGGGTGTTTGTGAAAATAACGGGGACAGAGCTGCTGTCAGACGATCAGCTGTGCAGCGTCATCACAAACGGACGTCGCTTCACGTGACGCTCCGGAGGAAAGGACGTCCCATTGCTCTTAAAACTCATTTCCCTGCTTCTCATGGTTTCCTTGCGTCTCTCCATGCTTCCCTGGTGGGAGGGACTAGTCGCAGGGAAACGACGCAAGTGAGGGACGCAAGGAATCCATTTAACCGAAGTGAAACGCAGCCACAGTATAGTATGTCTAAAATATCAGAAATGGTCATAGTATAGTACCGTAAGTTCTTCAGAAACTCCAGAAGCCACCGTCTTCATTGATGTCAGATGTACTAGCACTCGGTGTTCCGGGAAAAGAAGAAAAAGACACCATGACGTCAGTTTAGTAGAATGAAAATATATATAATATATAAAAATGCAAAAAATGAACAAAGTATAGTATGTCCAAAAAAGACATAGTATAGTATGTCCAAAAAACGACATAGTACAGTATGTCGACAATATCATAAATAGTCATAGTTTAGTACCGTAAGTTCTTCAGAAACACAAGAAGCCACCGTCTTCATTGATGTCAGATGAATGTCCTCGCAGTCCTGTGGGGAGAAAAGAAGAAAAAGACACCAGGAGCCTCATTTATAAAGGGATATACGCTCAAAAAATGGCGTACGCCAGTTTCTACGCAATGTTTGCGATTTATAAAATACTAACTTGACGGGAAAATGTGCTGTCCTCCACGCAAACTCTAACCCATGCGTACGCACTAAGCACACAAACGGGAGAGACGAGAAACTGCGACACCGTTGGCAGAAGGAAGAATGGAGAGAAATATGTGGAAATAATACCATAAATAAAATGTTACCTCTCATTTATCAAATATGAAGAATTCATTTTCAAACATTGATTAAAGCCAATCTTTAAATGATTAAACAAACGCCTGTTTGAAACTCCTCAGTGCACACAAAAACATAACTTGGAGAAATAAATAAATACGGATATGCTATTTAAAACCACCTCGAATATGTTGTGTTAATGTTATGAAATGTTTTCTCATAAATGATGCGGTAAGCAGGGGGACAGAATTACGTCTAAACTGACGCCGTTTTGCATTTCTATAGGTTGTAGATACGAGCATGGTTTTATATACTATCACGTTTAATCGTGTTTTATGCCGTTTGCCAAGACTTGATAAGTAGCTCGTAAAACACAGGAGTTATGGAAACTAAGAACACCTATGTGGTAAATTGTACAGCTAATATAACACAATCCATTAGTTGTATCCTTTAACTGGTGGATTATGGATATATAGTTGCTGATCGACAGCTGGAACACAAACCACCAAATACAACAAAAATAATTCAGATCCAGTCGTCATGACTCCACTCCGGAGGGATTCCCCCATCATTTCTTACAGTTTCTCATCAAGGGGGTGTCTCCTGTCCCCGGGACAAACACACTGCCTAAGGAAGGTTATGTGTATTTTTTTTGTCATTAACTTTTTTCGGACCACTTATTTATTTATTTTGGTGACGATCCGACCTCCATGCTGCTACTCTGGTTCAAACTGCATCCACCAAACAATATGATTTATCTCGACCTCCCCACAATAACCAAAATCTGACACGGTGTCAGATGTCTTTTTTAGCTGTTCTATCGTCATTTCCTGCGATCTTCTTCATGCAGTCAGTCAAAATGAATGAATGAATGGGCGTTTCTTTGACTATGTATAGGCAAATATGGGCGTTACGAGTCGATTGTGATTTATAAAGGGAAACAGGCGTAGGGAGTGCCGTACGCACTTCCCTCGCCGGTATGCAATGTTTTGTGAATCGGAAAATGGCGGAAAATGTATGTACCTATTTTTGTGCTTTGTACTACGTAAGCAACCTTCCTACGTCAATCCTACGCAAGGCGTTATAAATGAGGCCCCTGGAAGTCAGAATAGTACGTACTGACTATAGAATGAAAATATCAGATAAGACTTATAGCATGTGCAGTTAGTGACCACCAGGTGGAGCTATACACACACATCATAGCTACAAGATAGGCAATGCGCCTATGAATTAAAACTGCACCCTAACACCACTGCAGACAGAGTATATCTGCTGCTAAACATACAACACAAATGGATTAAATACCTCGAAAAACCATGTTTAAGCTAGAGAAAATGTAGAGAATCATGTATGAAGTGATGTGTGTACATTATCAGAGCCTGTAAACCGGAAGTGCTCATCCACTGACAACTACAGTAGCGAAAATATCACACAGTCCATTAAAAAAAAAGTATGAAATGTCATGGTATTTTATTATTTCGAAGTGACCATGACTCGGGTGAATTTGACAATGAGCGGTTTGTTTATTCGGCCGGACTGTAGCAACTGTAGCGGCGTTAGCATAGCTGTAAGCTAACACAGCGGGGACGTGTTTGTTTGTTTGCTTATTTGTTCGCTTATGTGTTTGTTTGCTTATTTGTTAAGTTTGTGTGGACGTTTGGCCATTGACTGACCTTTTCAATCACAGGAAACTCTAGTTATCGCTGTTTATTCCCTCCAGTCACTCTTCCGTGTGCATCTCGTGAGCTGGCGAAGTTGTTGTGAGCTGTTGCCATTGCGTCATCCGTATCAGTCAGCTGACCTTGCCTATGTAGCGTCTCTGGCCAGCAGGGGGCGGGGCGTCTACAGGTCATACCATCCTGTGGGGGGGGCCATGGCAGAATAAACCATCTTCATGTTTAGTTTGTTAACATTGAATTGAGCCTGCTAAAGTTGGGCTATCCATGGCAAATAATTGTTGTCATAGTCTTATTCTCACCTAGTTTACTTTATATTTATTGTAAACATTTATTTATAGGCTATATATGAATGCTGATTTTTAAAATAGCTAACAGTTTATCTCACATTTTCGACATACTATGAACTCATAACCCTAAAGCTTACAACGAGCAAGTATGCATTACAATGTTCTTAGTAGGCTTATCTTAGTACGCTGAAGAGTGAAAAATAATGTAATACAAACAATCACCTCTTGAACTTTATTGCACGGTCATTTTATTTCCAAATGCAGGTTTTTAGGGCTTAAATGAGGCATAGAGAATAAAATAAAGCAGCAGTCTTTTGGCCTATTTTAACACAGTTTTTGAGCAGCATAAAATACAAAGCTTGTAAAAAAATCCTTGAGGGATCATATTGACATAATAATATTAAAGGTGGGGTAGGTAAGTTTGAGAAACCGGCTCGAGATCGCTAGAATTTGAAAATACACAACCGGAGAAAATCTGCCACTTCCTTATAGAGTGGCGAAGTCCCTCCCCTTCCGGTGGACCTCCATGGGACCTTATTTCGGAAAAATTATGTATTGAAGTCAATGGAGAGAGAAAGATTATCTTTCGATCCCGTTTGAATTGTGCCACGAATTACACATATGATGTTTGTCAATTTAAAAGATAATTTTGCAAGTAAAAAAAAAAAAAAATGTGTCGTAAAACTGTGAAGTAACACATTTGTTTGTGTGAAACGCTCAATGAACTACGTCTCTGGTCAACAACACACGTCACCAAGATGGCCGTCACTACTGTCTTGTCAACAAAACGATTGACTATCCTCACTATCACCACAATGAAACACGTCCTGAAGAATGTCATGCAAAGCTGCCTGCCTGCCTTCCTTTGATTCTCTCTGAACTGCCTGGTCGTTTTAATGTTTAATGTCAACCATTTGTGCAGATAGCATGAAGTAGAGAAGATCGCCGATGCTAACGTTAGCGTTAGCATTTCTCCCCCGGGCTTAAATGGTGTATTATAGAATGATCACACCGGTGACAGTACTATTCAAAGGGTTCACGAAATATGACTACTACTCTTACTGTTTAACATTTTGGGTTACTTAATGTTACTTCATGTTAAGGCTAATAAAAATGACAAGGCTGTAATGCTAACTAACGTGCTAGCTACTAGCTAGGTAGCTAACTTGATCAAGCCACTCCTGGTCCTTTCATCAGACGGGAAGCAAAAGAACGAGCAAGACCCATTGCTGGTATAATAACAACCTGGTACTAAGCACACAGGCATCTTGTTAAAGTTATCTTATCTTAGCCAGCGCCATATAGATAGATTATATCTATATTGCGCTGATCTTAGGTATCTGA